TTTTTACGAAAATTCATTTCCTTCAAAGACCTTGAATCACCTTCTCCTCCACCCTCATCTGACAGTAATGCCTACAACCTCTCTCCCCACATCACACTTGATTTCCCCACATCCACACCCACTCCTTCACCTCCACCTGATTACCCCAATTCATCACCTTCCGCACCCACTGCTCCTTCTTCCACCCCACCACAAGCACCTTCCCCAGAAGTTAACCAAACAGATCAACTAGATGCTCCAATATATATTAGAAAACCATCTAGAGCAACTAAAACCCCTCTCCACCTTCAAATTTACCATTGCAACTTGCTGCAACAGTCTTCTTCTATCAAAAATCAACCTAGTGAAGGTATTACATATCCTCTTTCTGCTGTGTTGAGTTATGATACCTTTGTTATGGAAATTGTTCACGTATACTAAATCTTGCAAAACAAGTAACATATAAGATCATGAAAACATGCAAAGACATATGCAACATCCTAACCGACATGATTCAATGTCTCTCCGTAAGGGAATATTATTCCCCTCTAGTACCCAAGGTTATGGAATGATTCCTCCCACGATAGAAATGACGTACCTTTCCGGCGTAGCGGTACCTCAAACCCCAGAAACCATCGAACACAGCAAGATGGCAAGAACCACACTTGACTCTATTTTCTCTTTTGAAAACAATGTAGAAAAAAATCACTTTTTATTTGGGTAGACTTTCGGCACCAGGAAAATCGGGTAAAAAATAGAGGGGTAGGTGCTTATTTATAGAGAATGAAGAGGTGCATACGAAGGGAGGAAACTATTCGTATGGGTACTCTAAAAAAATCGAATTTCCTCCGCCCTGCTACTCCTCTCGCAAAAATTCAGTCCCGAAGCCTTACTCTCTCTCAATGGCTGGACCGATCGAATTCAATGATGAAGTTCTAGAGGCCGGACATGCCAGGGCTGGTCTGAGCTTGATCGGGCGTATGCTATGCTCGACTCACCCATCACGAATCCGAGTTCAACATACTTCTAACAATCTCTGGGCCAAGCGAGCCCCTGTTACGGTACTGGACGCAAACCACGGTCTCTTCCAGTTAGTTTTCTCCAACCTGAATGATCGGAAGGAAGCCTTGCAGAAAGCTCTGTGGTTTATAAAGTCTAACATCCTAACACGGAAATAATGGAAGAAATCCTCGGAACACCTCTTCCATGACCTTGCTCGAGTTCCATATTTGGTCCAACTCTGGAACCTTCCCGAAGAGTATCGTACTGTGGCTTTGGGTTGATTGCATGCCTCTCATCTAGGCTCCATCCAAGAAGCCGGGATGTTTGCGGTTTGGCAAGTCCACGCTCCTTCAATATCATATGGGCTAGGTAACTTATTCTGCAGGGAAGATCCTAGTTTCTTGTTTGAAAATATGGGAGATTCGCACTCACTTGGTTTACAAGATGTAGCACTTGATCTAATCCAAGCAGGCAACAATGAAGTGTCCACCGAATCCGCTCAGTCGTGCTCTCCAATTGGTTGCATGGTAGATGGCCAATCAAAAGGAAAAGCAATCATGATCGAGTCGTCGGGATCACCAAAGGTCTATACAAGGAGGAATGCTGGCATTTGCATCGAGGAACAAGAAGAAGATGCAGTGGACTCATACCCAAAACGTTCCAAAATGACGAAAGGGAAAAGGGTGGAGGAAGCCAACACAAAGTGGCCCTAACCAGATAAATGAATGTCTACGCGTGGAATTGTCAAGGAATAGGGAGCACCTTTACTTCCCAAACGCTTAAAGCTCGCCGCAATATATCCAAATCAATTTTGTTTTTGTGTGAAACCATGTCTCCTACGGACAAGGTCATTTCCTTTATTTCTGGTTTAGGATTTTCGGATTGTCATCCAGTCGACCCTACTGGCCTGTCGGGGGGTCTAGTCTTTGCTTGGCCGTCCTCGGCCTCAGTTTCTGTTATCAGGTCTGCCTCCTGCTATGTTGCAATTTTAGGGATTAATAATAATCCAGTTTGCTATGGAGAGTGTCCTTGTTTTGTGCTTATAAGAGTTTATTTGTCGTATATCGTTACCAAACATCAGTCACAACTTGAAGAAATCGCTTCTTTTTGTACTCGCCTAACAGATCCATTCCTAATCATTGGAGACTTTAATAGCTCTTTATACCCATTGGATAAGTCAGGAGGATCCCCATGGCAAATGGATAAAGCCCATCCCCTATGGGACTTTGTTAACTTCCCGAGACTCTTTGAAACTAGTTTTCAAGTCCCTAAATTAACTTGGGCTAATCGAGGAAGAAATGGAATACTGATTGAACAAAAAATTGATAGAGCTTTTGTCTCTCTTTCCTGGATGAACATCTTGCCTTCATCCAGTGTATTTCATCTCACGGACAGAGGCTCAGACCATAGGTTGCTTTGTTTTCAGACGTGTCCCAATATGACTAGAGCAAAGCGTCTTTTCCGTTTTGACCTTCGATGGGCCCAAATTCCAGAAGCTTAACTCATTATCACATATGTCTGGAACCTACCGGTCTTAGGTTCACTGCAATACTGCCTATTCAGCAAACTTCTGCGTACTAGACATACCCTGGTTGGTTGGTCCAAAGGGGGAACATCAAACTCTGCTAGATTGATAAATGATCTAAATCAAGCTATAGAGGTGGCTAGGTCCAGTCCGTCGGTGGATTGGGCCCTAATCAGATCAAAGGAAAAGGAGCTTATTGTTTAGTATAATCGGGAAGAGATGTACTGGAGGCAGAAATCCAGAGTCAACTAGTTAAAAAGAGGGGATATGAATACAGCCTATTTCCACATAGTCACCACCGCCTGGCGCCAAGCCACAACAATTTGGGGATTGGAAAACCCCCAAGAAGTATGGTGTACTGCGGAAAATGAGAAATTAGACACTACGGTAAATTTCTACAAAAATCTATTTCAATCCCAATGCATGACTGGATTCGATTTATCCAACCTTCCAATGGAAGGTATGGTAAACGAGCATCAAAATCATCAACTTATTGCTCCGATAACTCAAGATGAAATAAAAAAAACGGTCTTACGCATAGGCAAGTCCCAAGCCCCAGGTCCGGATGGATTTACAGCAGGGTTCTACCAAAAGTATTGGGGACTAGTCAATCATGATGTTGTCCAAGCGGTACAAACCTTCTTCCATTCCAGCTGACTCTTAAGATCCTTTAACCACACTTGGATTTCTCAGGTGCCAAAAGTTAGTGATGTGAGAACCATAAAAAGTCTAAGACCCATCAGCCTCTGTCAGGTAATCTACAAAGTCATTGCCAAAATCTTGGCTGATAGACTTAGTAGGGTGTTGCCCAGCATTATGACCCATCAGCCTCTGTCAGGTAATCTACAAAGTCATTGCCAAAATCTTGGCTGATAGACTTAGTAGGGTGTTGCCCAGCATTATTTCCCAATTTCAAAACGGGTTCATCAAAGGCCGCCAAATTCCAGACAACATTCTGAGTAGTCATGAAATGGTTCATCATCTTAAAAGTTCAAAATCTAGAAAGAAAAGGTGGATGGCAGTGAAACTAAATATGGAGAAAGCTTACGACCAGGTAGAATGGCCTTTTCTCTTCGAAATGATGAGAGTACTTGGCATTCATCCTCGATTCATTTCATGGATAAAAGAATGTGTCACAACAGTATCATATTTTGTACTTCTTAATGGCTCACCATCTCAGTACTTCAAAACCTCTAGAGGGTTAAGGCAAGGTGACCCTCTATCCTCTCTACTTTTCGCCATCTGTGCAGAAGGATTCTCGAGTATGCTAAGAAAAGCAACGTCTTTGGAATATCTAGAAGGACCTAGAATCAAACCCCACTGCCCGATGATCTCTCATCTATTCTTCGCAGATGACTCCTATCTATTCCTAGCTGCCTCCCCAGAATATTGCACAAATCTTCTTTCACTCCTCCAAACCTATGAAGAGTTGAGTGGACAACGAGTAAACCTAAGCAAATTGGCTATTCTATTCAGTCAGAACACGGATCCTATCGAGGCACAAAGTATGGGTGCTCAGTTGGGGGTTGGCAGCATAGGAGAACAAGACTCTTACTTAGGATTACCAGCTATCCTTTCAAGATCAAAAAGAGATACTTTCCTTTTTATGGAGGAGAAACTCATAAAGAAGCTACAAGGGTGGAAGCAATGCTCGCTCTCCAAAGCCGGGAAGGATACTCTTATTAAATGTTCTGCCACTAACATTCCGGTACTTGGAATGTCATGCTTTAAACTCCCAAAGGAGAACTGCAGACGTCTAAATAGTCATGTGGCAAAATTCTGGTGGGGAACTGCAGATAATACAGACCATCCGATCCACTGGCTATCCTGGAAAAGTCTTGCACATAGTAAGTTTCAAGGTGGACTAGGATTCAAGGACTTTGGAGCATTCAATCAAGCCTTGCTAGCAAAACAATGTTGGAGAATTTGGACTAATCCAAATTCTCTCCTCTCCCAGATTTATAAGGGGCGATATTTTCCTCAATGCTCTATCCTAGAAGCATCAATTAGTTCCAACCCATCATGGGGATGGAGAAGTTTGCTATTCGGAAGGGACCTTCTTATTCAAGGGCTAAGATGGCAGATAGGCAATGGCCAAGAAACTAGAGCACTCTTGGATAACTGGCTTCCAGGAGACAAACCCTCAAGGCCAAAAGTACGAGACCATAATCCGTATTGGTCCCACATGGTTTCTTACTTCATCGAAGAAGGACGTGGGGAGTGGAATATCCCAAGGCTTCAATCTTACTTTGAGCCTCAATCTGTTGACATCATAAGAAGGATCCCCCTACCTCGTCTCCCACAACAAGATACTAGGGTTTGGCATTACACCAAGGATGGAAAGTACACGGTCAAATCAAGATATCACCTAGCTCTAGACTCGGCCCTAGCAGTAAGCAGTAAACCGCTGGTGCTTATAATCGACCCACCTATTTGGAAAAAGACCTAGAATATCCAAGTCCCTCCAAAGCTTAAATTCTTCATATGGCAATGTCTTAGGGTCATTCTACCCACTGTGGTAGCCTTACAAGCACGTGGAGTTAATTGTATCAATAGATTTCTCGTTTGCTGGAGACATAGAGAGAGTATTGAACACTTATTCTTCAGATGCCCCCTAGCCACCAGGTTGTGGTATTTTGTGGGATTGAGCAACTTCATTGATTCCGCCCCGACTATTAACTCTAGTCTATGGTGGCGACATGTCATGATTTCTGAGATCTCCCCATTCCACATTCTCCAATGCATCTGTCAACTTTGGAGAATCTGGAAGTCTAGAAATGCAGTGACCTTTGAATTCTACCAACCTCATGTCCGTTCCTTAGCCAGAAAATTCTACAACAAGGTCCTAGAAGTTTCCAATTTGCTCCCCCCTCCTCCTCCCCCCAGATCTGTCCACCCAATCTCTCCTCCGCCAACTTGGTCTCCTCCTCCTGCCAACTTTTTGAAGATCAATTTCGATGTAGCAGTTCGCGACTCGGGATGCTCGTCTGGTCTAGTTGTTCGTGGCTCAGACGGGCATGTGGTGGTGGCAGTCGGTCTGTGTCACCAAGGAGTAGTCGACCCTTACCTTGCAGAGCTCTTAGCAGTGAGGGACGCCATCTCTTTTGTTGCTTCAAGATCCTTGTCTCAAGTGATTGTGGAAGGTGACTCTGAAGTGGTCGTCAACCAGATCCGACAAGGTGTACTAGAAATTTCTGTTGGAGGGCCAGTGCTCCGGGAGTGTCGTCAGATCTTAGACTCTTTGTCAGCTTATATAGAGTTTAGGGCGGTTCTTAGGGCCGCCAACAGTGCTGCCCATAGAGTGGCGCGTAAAGCACTGCTTTTGTCTTTCCTAGAGTTAGAGTCTTTTGACTTTGTGGGGTGGTTGCATTAGGGGTTCGTTTGTTAGGGGTTCCTGGGTAGTTTGGTTTGTTTAACTTTTGTCTTCTCTTCATATCACTCGGAAATAAATAAAAAACTATTCGTATGGGTGGTTACACCCCAACCATTGCATTGGTTGGTTCAAAATTTCTCAAACATTGCATCGATTCGACCTATGGTAGTTGGACCGGTTTAGTTATTCCAACTGTCATATCGGTTCGATTTGGTCAACTCGATTCGGTTTGGTCTGGTTCGTTGCACAAACCAATTCAACCGATTACCCACATATTACATCAAATTGATCAAATTTGAGGCCGCACCTTTCCACATCTTACCAGCATTGTACTTCAAGAGATTCTCTTGGATCTTTCCCCTTTCATTTTCATTCACACCATTAAAAATCCCAACAATCCCCCACATGAATGGAGAATCTTGTACTTGAAAAACTATGCAAAAAACTGTGTGATTCTCGACTAAGAATTAGTTGCATGGGGATAGCTGGGTTTCCCTTTAAACCTTTCTTAGTGAACATATATCGAGTATACTCACCAATCGGTAGATGCAATATCTTTAAACCGTCGGTTTTGCTTGTATACTAAGACAATTGCTTGTATACTAAGACAATATATTTCACAGGAAACTCTTATTCGTTCACTGGTTCTCATTGTTGTGTTCGTTTTAGCCAGGAACACCGCCTGTGTCTCCACTTCACACTCACATAGGTGATTTCTAAACGCCTATTCCGAAAATACACTATTTGATCACACCACGTGTCAAACTTAGAAACCCTTAAAAGTCTTCCATATTTAAGTACCCTTATTTTGGACATTGTCTCACCATGAGAATGGACTTTGAATAATTTGATAATGTCAGACCATCATTCACAACTTTGTTTGCTCCTTGAACCTAGAGGTTGGGTATGCCAATCCTACTTAGGTAGAGTTACCGCCATGACGATTTGTTCTAGGTGGGTCCCATGTTTGTTATCATTTGATCTGAAATGATCAACTTTGATAACTTCACTAGAAATTAATCAATCAATAGTGTTATGTCTGCCAAACCATTACAAGATTTTTACATAACACTTCTAGCTCTTTCAATAACAATTTTGTGCACAAGTGCATTTATTAACGCCAGTGTTTGCGGGCCAGGCTATTGAACTTCACTAGTCTTAGAGTTGGGGTATATTACAATTCAAATTTGATGTTTTCCAAGATGATGCTCTCCATTAACTATAAATGCATATCCATTTATAAATTGCCTTTTGGTTCATCCGGTGAGTTCCTTTGGGTACAATACACCAAAGACTCGTCTCTTTCAATTTACTACACATCATGTGTACTTGACTTGATTTTATTGCCTTGCAATAATCTTAACACATGAAAATAGGGTTGAAGTCTCTCAATTTCATTAACCTAAGAGTACTTGAGCTTCACAAGTATCTCTTTCAATGTAGTGATATTTATGAATTAGCTTAAGGTTTATGTAAAACTCCTAAGTATCCACGTCTTCACTTTGGAATCACCCAAGCGATATTACACATCTCTTCTTCCAGATATATCCCTCACATTTCAACTATTTCGCAATAGTTATTGAAACCAACATTTTTTATATGGGGAATGTTGTTCATATACCTTCATGTATATGGTCAAAATCATTTTCTCTTTGAGAAGAGTGTACTAACATCCGTAAGAAATGTTCTTTGGATTTCTTAGGCTAGCTCTCTGACATGAATGTCAATATATGCTAGATTTTACACATAAGTTATACCCTTAGATTGGGTTAACTCCACAAAGTTTATGCACTTGCACTTTATTACCTTGATACTTTCAAGTATGACATCTCTTACCTTTCCACATTTTCATTATGAATAGGTTGTGTCTCATAGTAGGGTTTTGAGATAGTATCTGGAACAATGACTTTTCTCCCCCACAATTCTATCAATTGCCGACACATCATGGAAGAATTTATTTCATTTTTCATTATTTTATTTATTGAACTTTCAACCACTAGATTCATCTAATCGTTTACCAATGCTTTGAACTAATTGGATTAGCGTACCACAAAAAATTCAGATATTATTAGAAATATCATCGAATTACTTACCAATGGTATCAATCAAGGACACTTGAGATGCCACAAGTAATTCGGATGCATTCCAATACTCGAAACCCCATCTAATTACTTACCAATGACATTAGTTAAGGAATCTTGACATAGCACAAATAATTCCAATGAATTTTATAAGTCAATAGTCTAATTACTTGCCAATGGTATATGCTTCATAAATATACCATAAGTAATTCATACTTTAAGTTCAACAAGATCATCTCAATTGAGCTCTCATGCCAAATTGTTTGTCAATGGTATATTTCTATATATACCATAAACAATTATGACATGTAGCTCCACATTGATAATCATAAATCAAATTATTTTCCAATGATATAGTGTACATATACCATAAACAATTTTGACGATGATTACTTTGATGATCACCATTCTAAGACAAGTTTATTCAATCCCTATAAGAATCACCCTTAACATCATTTTTCCTTGCCCTCATGGCATAGGAACCATCAAGTCTTAAATCACATGCATGATAAATAAATTATCATGTATTCATAAACATCATAGGGATTAGAATTCCTTATTGCTTGTGTCTTACTCGTAATGCAATCATTTAGACGTGCATGGACCAAATTTCATCTCCAACACATTGAAGGTATACTAGTTCATAACTATGTTCAACTTACTTTGAACATAACATTTTCATTCACATTTGCAACAACTTAGGCTTATATAGGCTTGACCACAAGTCACCACATGCCTTTCGTCATAGCAGTTACACACCTATGATTGTTCATATTTTTCCACTGGATAGTTTACAACTATCCAAACCACCTTTACTTATAGTCCACGAAGGGTTATCTTTAAATTTAAGTCATTCACAAATTTGTGGAACATGTTTAGCTTATACATGCATCATATTGTATGAACAAGTGTCCAAAATAAATTGGAATAAGTCATACACCCCACATTTGTGAATCAAATCAATGAGATGAACGCATTAAAACTTGGTGGTTGAATTTGGAATCAAACAAGTTCATAATGGCTTTATCCAACTAATTTTCCACTTAGGAAATATGAAACTTGTATTTACATTCACACCATTAAAAATCCCAACAACCTTGTCAACTCCTCACAAGAATTTTGCCTTAAACATTTCATCTTACAAAGAACCAGATTCCTATGAAGAAGCTATTATGAGTCCAAAGTGGGACAATGCTATGACATAAGAAATTCATGCCCTTGAGAAGCACCACACATGGGATGGTGTCTCCCTCTCACCTAAGAAGAAACCTATTGGGTACAAGTGGCTTTATAAACTGAAGTTCCTACTTGATGGTGAGATCGAAATACACAAAGCAGATTGGTTGCCAAGAGCTTCAGGCAATTAGAAGGCATTGATTACCAAGACACATTTGCCCCAATCATTGCCATGACCACTGTCAGACTGTTCTTAGCCACTGTAGCAACTAGAAACTAGTACATTCACCGACGCGGCATCAACAATGCCTTCCTCTATGTAGATTTAACTAAAGAGATTTACATGAAGCTACAAAAAGGTTACAAACCATCTCCCAACATCCCAAATCATGTCTGTCTTCTCAGCAAATCCCTGTATGGCCTTAAACAGGCAGACAGTCCGTAAAGGTTGACCATTCAGTCTTTTTCAAGTCCACTCATACCTAATATACTTGCATCCTCATCTATGTAGATGACTTGCTCATTGGTGGTACTGACATGACTGAAATCACAACAATAAAACAATTTTTACATCGGAATATATGTATCAAGGACCTATGCCCTTTGAAATACTTTTTAAGAATTGAGGTTGCTCGAAACAACTTAGGAATTCACTTATCACAAAGAAAATATACACTTGAAATCATTGTTGACAAATTTCTTACATTCTAGACCAATCACAACTGTTATAGACTATAAAGACCACTTATCAGCTTAACATGAACACTGTTTCACTAATCTTGACCTATACAGAAGACTTGTTGGTAAAATTGTTTACCCAACTACTATTAGGCTTGACATCAGCTATGCAACACATCAAGTCAACCAATATAAGTCAAATCCGAGTGCTCAAAACTTCAAGGCAGTTACTCGCATCTTAACGTATCTCAAATCTGCACCAACAACTGGTCTCTTCTTCCCTTCCAACTCACCTCTCCAGCTCAAGGACTGCAGTGCCTCTAATTGGGCTGCTTGTGTCGATAATAAACGTTCAATCACTAGTTATTGAATATACCTTGGCAACTCTTTAGTCTCCTGGAAAAGTAAGAAGCAACACACATTATCTCGATCATCCTGTGAAGTCGAGTATAGAGCTCTTGCTTACACGACTTGCGAGGTACAATGGCCCTCTATCTCCTTCATGACTTTTGTTTCTCTCATCCTCAACTTGCAACAATATTCTGTGACAATCAATCAACGATATTAAATGCTGAAAATCCCTCTTTCCACGAAAGGACAAAGCATATTGAAATCGACTGTCACCTTGTTCGAGAAAAATCACAAGCTCAGACAATAAAACTTCTCCGTGTTCCCACTGCTCACCAACTCGTAGACTTATTCACGAAGCCTTTGCCACCTGCTCCTTTTCTCGTATCCTATCCAATTGGAGTGCATAATCTATGCCCTCCAACTTGCTGGGGCGGGGGGGGGGGGGGGGTATCAGTATCATGGGAATCACAAATTTCTGTCTCATCTTCAAGCTCAAGACTTCAACCCTCGTCAAACACAAAGCAGATAAGCGTTAGTTGGAGCGACGTCGTTCAAGGGAGAGGAAGGCGCCAAAAGCAAGATGCCACATTAAAGTTTAAACCTTTCCCCTGCATTTTCCTTTACCATTTTTTGTTCTTGCTTTCCACTTGGACTATAGTGCATTGTAAAGGATATATAAATCCACAATCAATGAGAATGAGACAAGCTTCTAGGGTTTGATTCCATAACTCTGTTGTTAAGGGAATGATACATATTGTGATTTTTTTATCTGTGATAGGGATTGTGATTGCATTAGGTGGGATCCTTCTGGTTTTTAGTCAATATTTATTTATTTTAATTAAATTTATACATAAAAAATGAAAGCATTTTGGCGAAAGCGACCAATTTATTTTTCAGGTATAAACTTGACTACATAAGAACCGTTTGGTTATGCTAAAACCTTTCAGAAATAATTAGGTTTTTTGTTTCTATTTTTGTCAACAACTAAAATCGGTTAATTTGGTCTGAATTAATTGGTTCAGACCATTATCCACCTCTATAATGAAGTGATCATCATGAGTTAATTATCATTCTAACACAACTTAAATGAGTTAATTCAAATTATTATATTAAAATTAAAGGTTAATACCACTAAAAATACTAACCTACAACGACATTGTCATTTATATTATGTAACTTCAATAATTACAGTAATATTTCAAACTATTGGATTCAGAGTCATTTGTGTTACACATATTTCAGTTGACTGCTAAAGTTGACAGTTGACCTAACGATTTTCAATCTGTGTTTGATCATTGATGACGTGGTGCTTATGTGTCATCCAAATATGTGCCTCGTAGGATGGACTGATTACCCCTCATTGTCACCATTTGCGGCCTACATGAAATCTTCTCCAATGGTCGGAAGAGGAAGAGCTTGAGACGGAATGACGGCCTCAAGCGAGCTAAAATCTACATAGAGTTGTAGATACATGTGATTCAAATCTTCTTCTTATTAGTGTGTGATTTTTTTTCATATTTTTTCATTAAAATATTCCTTGTTAGAAGTCATGTCATCGTGTACTGTATTTTCTGTTAATCGTTTAAAAAAAATTAAATCAAAAAAACATATTAAAAGTTGCATAATATATATGACAATGTCGGTAAAAGTGAGTTTTTTTTTTTTTTATATTATTAGCCCCAAAATTAAAATGAAAAGCCACGACATACTGAGTCACGCCCCGGAGAATCAGTAGAATAGATTCAGCGAACTGAGACGCAACCACGACCTTAGTAGTTAGTAGTCATAAACTTTTCCCGTCTTCGTTTTTCTGGTTTGCGAAAGTACGAACCAAATAAAGGAAGAGGAAGAAGAGTGACGGCAGCTCTCAAATCCCGGCATCTGGGCTGCCATTTTTCACACTAAAAGAGGAACCCGCCTCCGACTCTTCTCCAGAATTCTGTAGTCTTCCTTTGTTTCTCCTTACACCCCAGCCTTCTCGATCAGTGCTCTGGCAATATTAACTCTTGAGCAGCACTAAAGCAGACTGAGATTCTGTGATTTCTTCCTCATTCTGCGGATCTTTCAATTTCCGCCGGTTTTGGAGGGTTACTGGCGAAGGACAGAGGTTTTCTTATTACTGGGCTGCAGCGGTTCGTTTTGTGCAGGTAATCGAAGTTTGTTGAATTCTGTACTTCTGGAGGGTTCTTAAGAAAACCCTTCTGCGAGAGTTAATGATGGACTTTGTCATTTTGGTTGATTTTTCCGCTTAAGTGAAGTGAAAATGCATGCTTAGACTCAATGGTGATGATGCTAGATTCTTGTTCTTCTTTGTGCGTGCTTTATTGTTCTGGGATGATGATGATGGAAAACTGGTGGCTACCATTTAATCGCTGATAGTTGGTTTTGTGTTATCTGTTTTCAGTCTGCCATGTATGTTGGGTTAGTAGTTCAGTCTTTCCTGTCCCTAGATGTCGCTATATCTGCTCCTGCACTACCCATTTATGGCTTTGATTTTGACACATGCTATCTAGTACTGGAATTGCTAACAAACCTGCTGCACAGGCACTGATCCTGTGGAGAAGATCTGGGAGCCTACAAGGATTTTCTAAACATGAATGCCAAGATGGGTTCTTTCCGCTATGGCCTTGCCGAGAAGAGGGAGAGATTGCTTTCCATGAAGGGACAATCAGTGTTCGGTTTTCCCAACATTGAGAAAGAAGATGAACCTAGAAGTTGCTGTTCATACAGGTTCTTTTCTGATAAAATTGTTGAGTTCTGCAGAACAATCCAGGATTTCGGTATTATGGCTGTTGAGATGGGGAGGTCGGATCCCAGAAAGATTGTTTTTTCTGCAAAAGTCGGTTTGACTTTGATGATTATATCTCTGCTGATCTATTGGAAAGAGCCGATGAAGGACTTAAGTCAGCACTCTGTTTGGGCTGTTCTTACTGTGGTCGTTGTCTTTGAATTCAGCATAGGTAAACTCCATTTTCGATCAATATGTTTGCTCAACATTACTTCCAGATAATTTCAAGGGGTTGATTGCATACTACATGAGATAACACATTGATGGATGGAAAAGTCCAGTTAGCTGCTTATTGATTGGGCTTCATTTAATAATAAGGATTTGTTTTTATTTTATTTTATTCTTGCCTGAACATCTTATTGGATAAAACTAATAAGACATTTGTTGCGAAATAATCTCAACACGAACAAAGTAGGCAGGAATTGGTTGGTATTAGTTTACTGGTAGCTAACGATCGTTCACTTGCAATGTTCAGATAATTTGCTTCATTAAATTGGATATGGTGGAAGTATACATAAGGTATCCTGTTTACATGCTTTTGCTATATGCATGTGTCTGTGTCTTGATATTCCTCCTTATGTAGCCACTAGCCAACATGTGTCCATTCGTTTGTGTTTTGGTACGTTGGTAATGGGTGCGGCAATGTTGAGGACTTTACAGTTTGGGTTTTGAATTCATTGTATGAACAAGCACATCTACCAGTTGGGAGTGTGTTAAGATAAAAAGTAAGGAATTAGCGGTTGGATTTCACAGAGGTTAGTTTGGGTTTTGCTATATGCATGATAGTATTGATGTCCTTAATGATTGGATTTAAGGCATGGGTTGACCAACTTTGTGTCTATTCTTTGGGTGTGTTTATTTGCTGTTCCTCTAAAAAGTTTACTAACTAGAGATTTAAGGTTTAGTAGTTGAGAAGCAAAAAGGGTTGTTTGATAAGTTTTCTGCAGATTAAAATTTAGAGTTTGTTTGAGTTTTTTTTTTTTGTGCTAATTAAAATTTGGGAACAAAAAAGATAAATACAAACACACACACAGAGGTTATTCGTCAAAAGAAAAAGAAACATGTTTTCTTTCTACTTATTTACTATCTTGCTGCATTATATAAGCATGCAATTATTACGTTATGAATCTTAATTAGCTTGAACAGGATGATCAAATTTTTTAGGCACATTTGGGATTGTACAAGTGATAACAATAACTTCACTTGATTTGAAAAACAGTTTATGGTATCGATCAAACAATCAGATGCACATTTGGGATTGTACAAGTGATAACAATAACTTCACTTGATTTGAAAAACAGTTTATGGTATCGATCAAACAATCAGATGGGTCTTTGTTGCACCATGTTGAAGATATTTTGTTGGATTCATCCGAGTTCTATGGGATACCTTATCTAGCTCTGATGCATGTGATCTAGACTTGTCATTTTTCTGACACAAAGATTTGTTATGTTCCGTTATGTATCCATTCTATTTTTTCTTTAGGTGCTACTCTTAGCAAAGGTTTCAATCGTGGACTTGGAACTTTATCAGCTGGTGGACTTGCTCTAGGAATGGCAGAGTTGTCTCAATTGGCCGGGGAGTGGGAAGAAGAAGTTATCGTCATTAGCATCTTCATCATGGGTATGGTTTCAGTAATGTCTTTGTAGATATGACATATCTCTGCAATTAGTTATTGGTTAGGTATTGTTCTCTGACATTCTGCTAATTTGCCAGGGTTTTGTGCAACATATGCAAAGTTGTTACCCCCTCTTAAGCCCTATGAATATGGCTTTCGGGTATACCTGCTAACTTATTGCATGGTAATGATATCTGGGTATCAGACACGTGAATTTATCCACACAGCAGTTACACGGTTTCTGCTTATTGCATTCGGTGCGGGGGTCTGTTTGGCAATAAACATATTCATTTATCCTATTTGGGCTGGCGAAGACTTGCACAACTTGGTAGCAAAAAATTTCATGAATGTGGCGACTTCTTTGGAAGGTAAAATTGCACCTATTTTTTATTTTACCCTGTAAATAAAATTTACAAAATATACTCTTTTTTGTCTCCAATAAAATTCTTTCTTGTTTCATATTTAACACTCGGTTGTAATTATTTTCTTTTGTTTTATAATTAGGTTGTGTGGAGGGGTACCTTAACTGTGTTGAATATGAAAGAATCCCATCGAAAATCCTTACGTATCAAGCTTCTGATGACCCACTATACAGAGGCTACAGATCCGCTGTCGAATCTACAAGCCAAGAAGATGCACTGGTATGGTTCATTTGTAGTTCTTACCTGCTCGATGATACATGTAGTGAAGAGCACGATTTTCTTCTCTTTAACTGACTATTCTCTAGTTGTTCATTAAAGAACTGGTGATTCCCTCATCTTCACTGTGAAGATGAGTTTTGCAGTTTGGGAGCCTCCTCATGGTCCGTACAAATCGTGTGGATACCCATGGAGCAATTATGTCAAAGTAAGTGGGTCACTTCGGCATTGTGCATTCATGGTAATGGCTCTCCATGGATGCATACTCTCAGAAATACAGGTGATTCCTATCCTTGCCTTTAATGCCAGTTGAGGATGCTTCAGCTCTTTTTTTTTTTTTTTTTCTGCCATAAGTTTGCATTTGTACATAGCAAAACTTTCTTGGCATAGTCCCTTCAGCTCTCATTTTGGCATGATCAGATTTCTTAGTTGTTCAATGCACAGGCCCCTGCTGAAAGAAGACAGGTGTTTCGGCAGGAGTTGCAGAGGGTAGGTGCTGAAGGGGCTAAAGTGTTGCGGCTACTCGGTAACAAAATAAAGAATTTGGAGAAGCTAGGTCCAGTAGACGTACTATATGAAGTCCATGAAGCCGCGGAAGAGCTGCAAAAGAAGGTGGACAAGAAATCATACCTCCTCGTGAATGCAGAATGTTGGGAGATTGGATCACGGGAGAAGGATATGGGAGAGCCACAGGATATGCTGACTTTTGATGACGACGAAGAAAACCAGTTTGTCGAGTACAAGGCTCATAGTGAAGCTCTGCTGAATTTGAGGTCGCTGACTATTCCAAAGAGTTGGGATGATAGAGTACCTCCAGGGGTTGCCTCACAGGATCCTGCGTATGCAAAACAGACATCTTGGCCTAAACGCCATTCATTCACTGCTGCATCCCTACCCCAGATAGAAGAATCAAAGACCTTTGAAAGTGCAAGTGCATTGTCTCTTGCAACCTTTGCATCGCTTTTGACCGAATTTGTTGCGAGGCTGCAAAACATCGTAGATGCTTTTCAGGAGTTGAGCGAGAAGGGAAACTTCAAGGATCCCATTGACGAACCAGTGGCAGAGCCGGTTGGGTTCTGGACCAGATTAGTGAAGCGTGTGAATTTTTCTCGAAGCAGTAGTTGATAGTAATACACGCATGGTTGGAGAATGGAGAAGAGGTCTCTTTGGAAAAGCCCTTTTCTTGGGGGGAATCCTAGCGTGACTAACTGAATTGTAAACCTGATTATGTAACTTCCTCACTACAAAGCCCTTCTCTTGAGACTACTGTTGTCTATCCAAAAAAATTTCAGACTACACGAAAGTGATATTAGGCGGTTATTGAAAGAAGATGAGGTTGTTGCTTATTGTTGTCAACTTGATGGATTGGGTGTTGCTTACTTTCTTGGAATTGAAGACACTTTCCTGGAATCGCTGATTCTATTGGAATTGAATACAAATAGACAATAATATCAAGATCGAGTACTAATTGTATATCTAAGACAGTGAATCACTTTAGGATAGTACAGTTCTATGGAATGGAGTGACAATCTTTTTATATTTGAAAATATTTTTTTAGTCCCATTCTTTTTAGTAAATAGAATATTATACATTTGAACATTTTGCTAATTTAGTATATATTAGAGGATGCTTTTGGGTCAGATTTTGAACGGGCAATTCATTCACTTTTCTGCAATAATTTAGAATCGGACAGTTTTGATTGAGCGTTTCAGTCCTAAATATTATGTTTGAATAGCAAAATAGAAATGTGATTGAGAATTTCAGTCCTAAATATCATTTTTGAATAGCAAAATAGAAATGTGATATGTGTTGTGGTATTTTCATATGCTACAAATATTATATGGGAGCTGATAGGTACAAAATTCTATACTGCAAAACCATAATTTTTAACCTTCCAATAAGTCGAATCTAACAGTAAAATCATAATCTTAATTCTTACCACAATAATAAGACAAACGACACTATTATATCACTATATTATATCGTTGTCAACAATTTTTTTTCCTCAAGTATAACACTTTATACTATCCTAGATAGGGGTGGCTATTTGGTTCGAGTTTTTTTATTTTACCCGAAACTGGATCGTATAATCCAGACCGAGACCGCATTGGGACCAGATAGCAAACAATCCAGTCTCGTGTTCGGGTTTAGATTTGAGGTAAGAAATCGTCTGGGGACGGACCGGAAATCGGACAAAAACCGGATAAGAGAGCCCAACACCCAACACCTAACAAACTCCTCACCCTTTTAGGCCTCAGCCCACTCAAACTCCCATAAGCTCAATCTAAAATCAAGACCGAATTGGGACCGGACCAGGTAAAAAACTAGACCGTATCCAATCCAATCTTCGGTCCTCATATTCTCAAAAAGAACGAACCAGGACCGGATCAATTCAAGCCAATTTAATCAGACCAGACCGTATAGCCACCCCTAATCCTAAGGCCCTGTTCACTTCCATTTTCGTTTCCTGTTTTCTGTCTTCATGTCATAAATTTGGCAACCGAAACGAGAAAACCTGTTTACTTTTCGTTATGCTTTCTATTTGTTTCCAACTCCGAAAACAGAAAGTGGCAGCTTCCTGCTGTTTTCGGAAACGATAAAATGTTGTTTTCACCTGTTTTCAACATCTGTTTTCTCCAAAACATGAAACAGAAATGAAAGTAAACAAGTCCTAACACTATCATACAACCATCATATAACTGTGGTAAGACTTCATAATATCATCTCAACATTGTATGCCATGATTTTACTACAAGGGTGGCCCACACGCGCGAGAAGGCTCACATGACTAATTTAATAATAATAATAATAATATTATAAATAATTTCCCCCCTTTTTTTAGTTTTAGTGTTAGTTTTGATTTTTTTTGTCTTTAATGGATAGAATAGGCTAACGATCATATTTTTCCAATTATATAAATAAAACTCATTCTTTACTTTCTGTCAACACTTCTCACATTCTCTTCCTACCATCCAAATCAAAAAATTCTCTTCTTTTCCCAAACTCTCTGTAATAGTAATCCTGGTTTCTTCCAACATTGATCGCAATCCAAATTACACAATGTATGAAGACCTTTTTTTGTGCAAGGCTTGGATGGAGGTTTTGCAAGATCCTATCATCGGTCATTACCAATCTTCACCAACTTTCTGGACGAGATTGAGAGAGCTATATTCCTACAAATGGCTTTATGATCAGCCATACCGATGATGCCTAGAAGACTCGATAAAACTATATTAACCATTCATGTCAGAAGTGGAATGTGGCATGGAGTAGTGCAAATGTTAATCCAGTGAGCTGATCTAATCAATGCAATGTGGTTAGTCCATTTCTACTACATCTTAATTTAATTAATAGCATAATTTATAAATTTTTAATTATTAACCGTGTGTTTCATTTTCAATTATGTATGTGGGTTTAATTTTTACTTTTAAGTTACCTAATTTTTTTATTTGTAATTTTTGATCATGTATATTATTTTTTTAAATAATTGTCTATATGGATCACGCAAAGACTATTTTCAAGGTGGACACGAAGAAAGAATGGAAGTTGGAAGAATGTTGGATACTACTCCAAGACTGTCCAAGATTTATGCTACAACTTTATGCCTCTGTTGCACCCATTCCACCATCAGATGGATCCCCATCGGCTATGTCAAACGACGAACATGATAACCCTGTACGTCAAGCAGCTGCTGCTCCAAGAGTGTTTAACCGTCCGAAGGCCGAGATCAACAAAAGAGGAAGAAAAGAGGAGGTGGTGATTCTTCTTTGCATGGATGCTTTTCAAAGAGTTTGGTGACATGGCGGTAAGTTCCGCAACGCATGCAAGATTGGCTGTCATTAGGGAGGAACGAGAGATAGCAAAGGAAGCAAGGGAAAAAAATAAGTACGAGTGAGAAATCATGCTTTAGAATATTTCTCAATTGGATCCTTAACAAAGAGCATATTGTATCTGTGTACCAACAAAATCCAAGTTCTGAACCACCGGGGGATCTAGCAGTAGCCCATTTGATGACACTTGCAACCCCGACCTGTAATCTTGAATAAGTTTGTACCATTCATAGTTGATGTATGCTTTATTTTTAGTGTGTTTGCTTAAAGTGCTTTGAATGTACCATTGATGTATCCTTAATCTTTGGTGTGTTAGCTTTAATTACTTTGAATTTACCCTTGATGTATCCTTTTTAATTATGTTTATGTTCAATTATTACGACAACAAATTTCTTTATTAAGACACCCGAGTATGAAAAATACATCGATAACAGTCGGTTCAAAGCACAACAAAAAAAATGCACAAAAGACAACGTAAACTCAACACACAACACAAATCCAAGTAATTAAAGTGCACAAATTAAACTTAGAGCCACACCACACCACATTACTACTCCCCTCCTCCTTCTCTTGTCCACAAATTCTCAACCAAATCCGCTATCAACGCATGATGCCCTTCACGGTTACAAATCCTATTATGCCTTATCATATAATCCATGAGAGTCGGAGTGTCATGATCTGGTGGATCCAACGTAACATCTGGATTAGTCTCATATTCAATCCTGTCCACTTGTTCCTCTACAAACTTATGTCGTTGGTCTTGAACTATCATATTGTGTAAAATAACACATGTCAATATAATTTCCGCTAACGTTTGTATATCCCAATATTGACCTGACGATCTATGAATGACACATCTTTCTTGTAGAATGCCAAATGGCCTCTCAATATCCTTGTGTTATGCCTCTTGCCATTTTCAAACCGTTTCTTCTTCTAGTTACTAGGGTTGCTAATGATTTTCACAAATGTAGACCATTCAAGGTAAATGTCGTCAACCAAGTAGTAACATTAATTATAAGTTGTACCATTTACCGTATACCTGAATTTTGGAAGATTTCCTTTGATTGCTTCATCGAACAACGGGGAGACTCCAAGCGTGTTTATGTCATTGTTTGGTCTGTGACTTCCGAAGAAGGCATGCCATATCCAGGTGTCTTATGACGCTAGAGCTTCTAGGATAACGGTTAGCCTCCCCTTATATCCCATAAATTGTCCTTGCCACGCCTTTGGACAAATTTTTCCCTCCCAGTGCATGTAGTTGATCGAACCGATCATACACGGGAAGCTACGCTGATCGCTGTGATGAAGAAGGCGACAAAGATCCTCCATTGATACAGATTATGACATTACAAAGTTTCTACATTCACTGCAATATAGTGGTCTTACCCATATCAAAGGTCTCATCTAAGGAGTCAGCTGAGCATCCATTTGCAAGCATTCAAAGGGAAGTAGTAAAATTTTGTTCTAGGGAGAATGCGACCCACAACATCACAACCTTGAGCCCTTGCTGGAAGTAGGAGTCGTGTTGAACAACGCCAGTCATGACTCGGTTGAACAAGGAGAGGGCCATCTGAAATCTCCTTCTGAAGCGCCTAGTGTCGTAGGTCAGATTGGGATATCATCTAATACACACCCTAGTATATCGATATTTTTGCATATGAACACATCAAGGGCATATCTGATGACATATTAGCAATGAAGAACATAACATGACTCAAAACAAACCTAAATATGGGATTGAAATAACACTAATTTGAGTGTTATCATAATACTGTATTACAAATTTCACCATTTCGCCAAACATGATATTTGAGACAAATACCACATATTAAATAATATGTATTCTAGTAATGTGATAGTTGTGAAGTATTTAAAGTCAAGTACCATAATTCAAAAATAACACATCCAAACAAATAGCAAAATAAAGCTGGTATTTGCTAAAGATTTTACTTCCCTTTTTTATGATTATGTTATAATAATACAAATCAAGTACCACTTCGGAAAGACAAGGCTGGCAATGTGATAGTTGTGAAGTATTTAAAGTAAAGTACCATAATTCACAAATAACACATCCAAACAAATAGCAAAGCAAAGCTGATATTTACTAAAGAATTTCCTTCACAGTTTTTTTAATGATTATGTTATAGTACAATCTAAGTACTACATCGGAAAGACAAGGAAATTGACTCTTGATATTAGTTTCCACCTAGCTCAATTAGTATGAGGCCATTTTGGGAGGATACCTAAAAGTAAATGCATGAAAACTTGGTCCAAAGTAAACAATATTGTACTAATGGGGCTACCCGATTTCAACAATTGGTATGAGAGCCCCGGTTTGGATTTCTTTGCATTTGGCATCTCAGTTTGGGCTTCTGATGAGGTTTAATTCACTATGAAGAAGCATGTACAACAGGATGCCGCACTTTTGAAAGGAAGCAAGCATCTAGACAATTGAATTCCAAGGGCGGTGATCTAGTATTGGATGGCAAAGTTCAACAGTTTGGAATTGCACTCTTTGGTTTGTTTGGAATTCTTTGGTTGGTATTTTTTAGAAGAAAATTTTGGATTCTGGACTTCAGGCGGGAGCTGAAAATCAATTGGAATTCGATACAATTACTTAGCTTGTGGTTTGGCAACAATTTTGTTTGTTGCCTTGGTGATGGTTAGGATTTTCGATTATCAAGGATATTTGTTCTATATTTGAAGATCAACAAGTCAATTTAGAGCAGCAGGTTTGGAGTTAAGGTAAATATGATGTTGGTGTTATGGATGGAAATAACACCAACTTGGTTATGCATTGCAAGACCCAACATGTTGGATTTGTTGCATATACTGAGTTGTTGACCGCCCTTAGAGAATTTGGAGGCATGGGAGATTCCGATACATTTGGAGATTGCAGAGTTTGGTACATCTCACAATATTGATTGCATATGAGTATATAGATCTACATTGTATTTGAGTCTAGATATTTGGATCGCATCTAGATCCATCTGGTGATATTGATCGCATCTGAGCACATTTGGCGATATGGATTGCATTTGGGTACATTTGAAATTTGGATGCATGCTTATGATACATATGGTATTTGAGAGAGATTCAAGCTGGAGATTTGTTAAAATATGTCTTGAATTTGGTTTTGGCCTTTCTCATTTTGTTTTATGTTTTGAGCCTACTTTGTTTGTGTTTGACTTTTGTTTTTACTTTTTTCCTTTTAGGTTTGGGAAAAGTGTTTGGCTTTCTGTTTGAGATCAGGTTAAGAGTATAAATACTCTTTATTAACCTAATATATAGTTAGGTCAATCTGATTAATTTGTTTGTTTGGTCAGTTCCATAATATCTTCTATAACCTTTACTCGCTTAAAATCAATGAAATTTGTTCTCTTTTATTCGTGAATTAGGTAGTACACACTGCGTTAGTGAATCACGTTAAATTTGTATATGTTTTTGGTGGATCAAGGAGATCTGCATCAGGTAAGTCCTCATGCAATGTCTGGAGGACACGAAGCTCGTCGTCCTTGTCTTGAGGGGAGGAATGTTACGAGACAATCCAAGTATCGCATGGGAAATAGAAGGGAATAGACCATTGTATATTTGTGTCCACATGTCCCAATTAGTACGAGATCTTTTTGGGGAGGATACCCAAAAGTAAATCCATGCAGGTTAGGAAAAAGTAGACAATATGGTACTAATGAGGTATTCAACCTCAGCAAATTAAGCTATAACTTATATTTAATAACATAGAACTATACAAGAGCAAAATTGAAAGGTAAAAGAATCCCAACCTCATACTAGTTTTCCTTAGATCTCAAAATAAACCACTTCCTAAAGTGGCTAAAAAAACCTTGACAAGTGACAACACATTGAAATTCATTTTCTTTTATAATCCCCTAATCAGACAGTGAACAATGACTAGCTTGTTTGCATAAAAAAGCTAGTCACTCGACTCCTCCGTGTGTTCATTTCTAGTAATGTTATACCTTCAACAGAATGAACATTACTAACTTTGATGAGCAAATATGCAGAACCTTACGGTTCTAATATCATGTAAAATCCAATAATACAGAAGAAGAAAAAAGCTAGTCACTCGACTCCTCCTTGTGTTCATTTCTAGTAATGTTATACCTTCAACAAAATGAACGTCACTAACTTTGATGAGCAAATATGCAGAACCTTACTGTTCTAATATCATGTAAAATCAATAATACAGAAGAAGAAAACTAACTCACTCGACAACAATTTAGACTAATATCTTGCTCAATGTGAATGAGACTACTCTACGAAGAAAATAGGCAGGACCTTATAAAAAAAGGGCTAATACTACTAGAAATACCAATCTTTAGCGAAAGTGTCATTTTTATTACGTAATATTCGGTATGTCATTTGTATACCAACCGTTAAATTTTCTGTTAGTTGTTAACAGAAAATACAATCAACGATGATGTGGCTGCTCACATGGAATTTTTAATAAAAAAAATTAAAATGAATATCCACCTCTTTATTCTCTCTCTCACCCGCCCCACTCCTCAAGAAAACCCTAAACCTCTAAAAGCCCAGAGGCGGTGCCGTCAGACCCTTCCCTCTCTCAACATTCTCCCGATCTCTTCTACTTCTGTGAAACGGTTCCATTTACCGAATTACCATCCTTTGGTCACACTAATCGCCTCTGCATCCCATTATTGTGAAATTGGGATTTTGGGCAAAGAAAAATGTAAATGGCGAGGCAATCTTTTAGAAAGTGTGAGAGCAACCTTTTATTGTGAAAGCATCATTTGGGATTCTAGGTTCTGTCTTCTGTGTAGATTCGGCAGAGGAGTTTTGAGTCGGGTTGGTGGACAGGGTCGGGGTATGGATTCAAGATGCAAAAGAAGGCAAGGAGATTCAAGATGAACTAGATTCTGGGTTTTTTATGGCTTGAGCTCGCCAAGCTTTTCAATTTTATGGTGCAGAAAATAAAAAATGCAATACAATAAACAGGAAGAGTCAATTTAACACCGCCAAGCTCGCCGTCGTCGACGATGCGTAAAAACCAAGCCCCTGCCACCACTGTTGATCCGGTTTTTCCACTTTGGAGGGAAGGAGTACCAGATCCTGAAGCCGATGGCCTGTCCTCCAGAGATCTTGTGGTCCGGCTTGTCCCTGTCGAAGAGTCGGGAAATTTTGGATTTGATGACATCGACCTTGAAAGACTTGTCGTCTTCCACTCACGGGAAGTCCCCGACGGCTACGAGCGACGGCGGGCAGTGTTTTTCCACTGGAAGGCGATCCGGAGACGGCGGGCAGTGTTTTTCCACTGGAAGGCGATCCGGAGAGAATAGAAATCGAAACGCCAGCCTTGATAACAGGGTCGCCGGCTCGCCGCCTTGAGCTCCATGGTGTCCGATTGGATAAGAGAGCCAGATTTGTGAGGCCAAGCTCAGAGGGGAGGTACCCGGTGTCCGGAAATGACAACGTGGTTGAGGTTGATGCCGGAGACGGTGCGGGTTTTGGGATTGGCTTCGGATTCGATGACGAGCAGCATTTATAGCAATGGATGAGGTTGCGGAGGAGGGCAGAGAGAAAAATATTTTAAAAAATTAATTAAATTTGTTTAAAAATTAAATTATTTATTTTCAAAATAAATTAATTTTAAAATTTTAAAATAGTAAATTTCCTACGTGGCAGCTCCACATAAGCAATAGTCAAACATAAGTTGACACCGTTAGGTCAACGGTTAACTCTAACGGTCAACACAAATTCGTGTAACATAAATGACGCAGATACCAGATAGGTTGGAATATTTTTGTGTTTATTGAAGTTACGTAATATAAATGACTCTTTCGCTAAAGATTGGTATTTCCAGTGGTATTAGCCCATAAAAAAACTATATTTTCCTTATATAAGACATGACCCCCAACTCGCAACTTAAGAAAGGATAAGTTACAAAATAACCCATTGAATAAGAACTAAGAACAGTAAAGTCCAGACTACCACGATCGTACAACACATGCTACACATGTATGACTCTGAATCCCACTTTAGTCTATTCTCTGTTTAGCTTTTATGTTCTATTGGCTATTGCCCTTCTACTTATTTTTTCTTTCTTATTTTACAACTAGTTATTTTACAACTAGTAGAAATTATTTTGGAAATTTTTTGTGAACAAATCTTGCTTATCGTATAATTTCAATCTATCAAGATGGATATTTATATTTTTATTGGTATTTCGAGATAAATTTGATATTATTCATCGTTCTAGTTTTCACACCACATACATCGAATATTGTATATGAATATTGAAACCACATTATATAAATACTAGAATTATGTTATATGAATATTATCAACTTTCTATCGAAAAAGTGTTAAAAATATTGATATTCATGTTGTTAGATTGAAAAAGTTTTGAAGTAAGGTTTGTTCACTAATGTTTTTCAAAAAAATAATTGTAAAATAAAAAAATGAAATAGGATTACAAGAGTGTCTTGTAGATTGGAGGTGAAGACGACAAAGAAGGGGTTCGCCAAAATGACACCAGACAACCCAATGTCTTCTTTATATTTTCTTTTCCTCTGCAAATTTAGTCATAGTTGTAGTTTCGAAGCTCTCGCTGAACTTTCATAGGAGTAGATTGAATTTAGTTTAGATATGCCTCGTAGATCATAAAAAAACATTGAACACCCTTGTTTGAACTTTGTTCAAAGAGGTGTGAACTGTGTTTATTTTATAGTTGTTCAAAAAGTCAAGGTGAAAATTTAATTATGTCAAATCTAGTTTTCCCGCCGATAAAACAGACACAAACTAAATTTATATCTATAAGTTCAGTTTGTACAAATATATTTTTATACAATTTTTTTAGGGTTAATACCTTATTTTGGCCCGAACTATTACCATATAATCAACTTTGTCCTGTGGTTTCAGGAATTAACATCCTGGCCTCAACTATGCAGCATATAGACTCAATAGGCCCGAAACATGGTTTGACCATCAATTTGGACGGTCAACACCATTGACCGTTAGTCAACACGCCATGTCATTGCCTCGTCGGCCGAAAAATCATTAAAAAATCAAAATCAAATTATTTTACTAATTTCTATTATTTATCATTTTCAAATTAACCAAAAATAAAAATTAAAAAACTTATAATTTTTGGTTAATTTATAAAATTTATCATTTTCAAATTACAAAAAAAATAAATTTTTAATTTTTTATAATTTTAATTTTTGGTAATTTGATAATGATAAATAATAGAAATTCGGAAAACAATTTAAATTTAAAATTTTTACTGATTTTTAGGCTGACAAGGCAATGACATGGCGTGTTGACCGTCCAAATTGACGGTCAAACCATGTGTCGGGTCAATTGAGTCTATATGTTACATAGTTGAGAACATGATGTTAATTCTGAAACCACGTGCCAAAGTTGATTATATGGTCATAATTCAAGTCAAATTAAGGTATTAACCCATTTTTTTATGGTGTACAATCCTCCATACTAAGAAATGAGCTTGTCTACTATGCTATGAAGGTGGTCGGCGACACTAGACGACTAACAGAAAGAATAAATAGACGAGCGACTAACTGAAATGGAAACAATTCATTGATGGTCAAACAATGGTACTTGACACCTCCCGTCACCACATCCATCACCTTCAGTGCACCGTAGACCGATTGATCATCCATGCAACTTTCGATCTTCGTATAGAGTCAGCACTCGGGCTCAACAATCAGCTCACTCTCCGTTGACAGGGAGAAGAAAGATCAACAAATGGCTGCTGAAAGTTGAGAAGATAAGAAGTCTAACGACTAGATAATGGATAGGTTGAAAGGGACTTGGTAGTCTGCTCACTCTCACTATCCGTCTCAGTTGATAGGGAGAAGAAAGATCGACGAAGGTAAGGGCTGTTAAGAACTAAGATGATAAGGGATTAATTCCCTAAATAGAGTAATAATTAAAAGTAATTCACAGAATACATGACTTTTATAAAATTTCCCAAACTATCAAATTTTGATAAGGTTCGAGCTCAATAAAATCGAACTAGTGCAGGATCGATTGCCAAGTCATTGATCCACGTGCATCGAGCGAAAGGGCCACGATTGGCTGGCACAGGACGACGTGGATCGAAGTTATTAAACTCGACTTACGTAGATCGAGGACAGGAGACTCGAACTAACAGACCTGGATCGATGACAATAGCAGCGCTCCACCCTAGATCGAGTTACCGGGAAACGATCTAGGCCGTTCGATGGCCATATCCGCGAAGCAGTGGTGACGTGGATCGAGTGGGCAAAACGCGATGAAGGTGGATCGAGTCTTTGGAAATCGATCTACTAGACGCGGATCGATGACGTCATACACGCTCTACCGTAGATCAAGTACTCCAAACTCGATCTGGGTCGTTCGATCTGCCATCCCTCGAGCTGCTTTTGACGCGGATCGACGATACCAAACTCGATGCAGTGGTTTGAGTGACTAAACTCGATCCACTTCCTCCCACAACCTATAAATACCCCCCTTCCATTCCACCAAAACTCACACCACTCCATTCTTCTTCCTCTCTTCCTCCCACCACTCTTGAAGAAAAAAATATGCTCTGTGGTTGCGGCTAAGCCCAATCTTCTGCATCAAATTTTTTTCTTTAGTTTGGTACTTCTATCACTCAAAATTGCCGAGATGGACCCGAGTATTTACGATCCTAGATTATACATTCAAGGCGGACCGCGAGAAACCGATTTGTTGGATGAGCAACCTTACCATCGGTCTGAAAGTGTTTGGGCGGCAGATCCGGTAAGCACTTCCTCATGTACTTTTATTTTTTTAAATGTGATAGTATTCTTCTAATTTTTTTTGTATAATAATTAATATTTTTTTCTACAGGAACAACTTGATGTAATCACCCATCGGTCGCTATCTCGCTTGCCTAAATGGGATGATCGGATCGAGCCCTTCATTGAAAGAGCGCGATTGCTGAGGGTGAAAAAGTTTGTGGGGATGGAGATGAACAACAACCTTCTTATGGAAATGGTGGAAAGATGGAGAAAAGAAACACACACATTCCACCTTCTGGAGGGAGAGATGACGATTACGTTGAAGGACGTGGCTATGCTGACAGAGCTTCCAATCGATGGTGATGCAATAATAGAAATTTCTCAGAAACCATTGAATGGTTGGGGCCAATTTATAAGAGAGCGTTTAGGAATCAACATCCCCGAGAAAGCACCACAAGGTCATCGTGTACCACCTCTACACAAGTCTATGCTATTGATACCTTGGCTAGTGAGGACTGCTGGAGAATTACCAGAGGATGCCACAGATGCTCAGATAGAGAGGTATGCTCGCATCTACCTGATTTGTTTGGTTGGAGGATTTTTGTTTCCGAACAAATATGGTGGAAATATGCATTGTATGTGGCTTCGAGTTCTTTTGGAAGATTGGGACGAGATTGGGAAAAAAAGTTGGGAATCTGCTTGTTTGGCGATGATATATTCGGAGTTGTGCAAGTATACGGACCCGAAAATAAAGCAAGCGGGTGGTCCCATGTTCATCCTCCAACTATGGGTTTGGGAGCACCTTCCTACTTTCGCTCCGATTTGCCCTGCCAACAGTTGGGGTCCCGAAGAGCCACTACGACAATGGGCTTATGGTGTTAGATGGATTGGAGCTATCACGAGACTCACCTCTCTAGACGGGTACCGCCAACATCTTGACTGTATAGAATTCAACGAGGTAACATTCTAGATTATGATTATGAATGCTATTTTATTTGTTGAAATTATTTGTCTTGGACCATGATTTATTTTTATGATTACGAATCCTATTTTATTTGTTGAAATTATTTGTTTTAAACCATGATTTAATTTTATGATTTTGAATCCTATTTATACGTCGAAGAGAGGGACGCGGACGTGGTGCACAAGAGTGAGTAGTGTGACTTCTAGAGTTGTGATATTATCGAGTTGCTGCTTCTTTAGGGTTGTTAAGTTGTTCTAATTCTCTAGAGTTGTTAAGTTGTTCTACTTCTTTAGAGTTGTTAAGGTGTTCTATTTCTAATGACGTTGTTAAGTTGTTCTATTTCTTTAGAGTTGGTAAGTTGTTTTATTTCTCTAGAGTTGTTAAGTTGTTCTAATTCTCTTAAGTTGTTATATTATTCTATTTTCTACAACTTCAACTTCAAATTGCAATATAAAGTATTTAAATCACAACATAAAATTCAAATTACAACATAAACTTTCAATTGTCAGTTGATGGCCCTGGACACTGGCGCCTATCATGCCCTTCAACTCGACATGCAGAGCACTTCTTCGGGCGGCGTCGCTGTGTCCTTGATCTATCCATATCATTTTCAATTCGGTTAACTCTAGGTCGACCTTTGGTACACTTCATGTGCTCAGGTGGGTGCACTACAGGTTCATCAAAATGGGGCCAATATGCTTCATGAGCTAAGGGAATGAACGACCCTTCCCAAACTCTGACCACGTATGGAGTCTTGTAGTAAGGACTAACAAATATAGTTGGGTCCATATTAACGCTTCTCGCAGCTACATATGCATGAGAGCAAGACATGTGTCTCCCTTGAAACTTCCCACAAGTACACTCTCATGCTCCATTCATTGCATCCAGTATAACTATTTGAGCATTACCACCCTTTGAACTATCTGATCCACTTCCAGTTACTACTGCGAAGCGGGAATCTCTTCGACTAAATAAAGTCACCTTATGCCCTTTTCCCTTTCGGACCATGGTTTCATGTCATCCATAATCTTCTTTGGGATGTAGATTCCAGCATTCAACATCTGATATGCTGCATGGTAGCGTTCAACGAACCATGTCACCGTACCAAAGAAGGTATGCAAGACTATAGATGATATAGGCATTACATGAAGACCAACATACAAACCATTGAGGCACTCACCCATGTTTGTTGTTGTTATGCCATACATGATACATATACCCTTCGTCTTGATGTAACGTCCACCTCTCAAAAGGATGAGTTTCTAGTCAATCTGCACCTTTAGAGTGGACCTCCCTTATGTTCTTCATTTTGTCTACAAACTTTCGAGTCTGAAAAGCAATAGCTACAATAAAGGAAAATAAGGTTAATAAAGGAGTAGAAGTCCCTTATGTTCTTCATTTTGTCTACAAACTCCTTATGTTCTTCATATACAAGTGCATAATCCTTGTAAACCTGCATGCGGTAAGTCATCTTGCATACTCTTCGCCCTCTTATGCAACATCGTTCCGCACAAATATGGTTGAGTTCTTGCCAAGTAAATATGCTCTCAATCCGGACAGTACTTGATTCACCATTTTCGTAGTCAATACTATTCTGAAAATGTGTGTAGGTCGAATTTTTGAATTTTTCTACACATTTCTGCAGTTTATAGAAGCAACTCATTACATACAGTTCAAACTATACTAAATTAATCCAAAATTCTAATATGCTCATTCAATAACGTAAGCAGAACTTACCTCCAAAATTTCTCTTTCTTGCTCAGCTATGGTGCTCCAGCTGCTGCAGTTGAGCACTTCTACTATGCTATATAGTATTGGTGCTTTAATGTACAACTTAAAGTTGTACCATAACATTAAATGTACAAGTTTAGGTTGTACCATAAAGGAATTTATATCATTATGTTATGGTACAACTTTACAACTTGAAGTTGTACCATCATATAAGATACAAGTTTAAGTTGTACCATAAAAGAATTTGTACAAAAAGTATAGGTACAATCTGAAGTTGTACCATAACATTAAAGGTACAATTTCAAGTTGTACCATAAAGGTAAAAACTTATAGCACCAATGCTATATAGCATTGTAAAATTCCTCGCTGCAGTTTGTGTTTGGAAGAAAGAAGATAGAAAGTATAAGAGCTGCCAGAATGTGCTAAGTGTTTTCTTTTTATTTTTGTAAACTGATGCAGTGGGTCGAGGCCAAAGAAATCGAACCACAGTGGTTCGAGTCCAGATAACTCGATCCAGGGCAACCAATAATATTTCCCTTGCACCCTATTCTGGAGCATGTCGGGCCGAAAGGGATTGGACAGAATGATTGAGCAGTGGTTCGAGTCCAAGGAAATCGAACTAGACTAGTTCGAGTCCATAAAACTCGATCTAGTACAACAAAGAATCTTATTTCTGGAACCCTATCTTGAAGCATGTCGGGGGAAAGTGACTTTGTAGATATTGATCAGTGATTCGAGGCCATGGGAATCGATTTATGTTGTTCGAGTCGTAAGGAATCGATCTAGTGCAGATATGGATCGAGGCTTCTAAAATCGTTTCATTTGATCGTGTTTGGCATCGATCTATGTGGATCGAGTTGTCCATAGTCGATCAACTTTGATCGAGTCCTTTGTCCTCGATCTATTGAGATCGATTCTTTCAAAATCGATCTACCATTCATCGAGTTTTAAGAACTCGTTCTGCCCTTGATCGAGGTTTAAGAACTCGATCTACCCTTGATCGAGTTTTAATAACTCGATTTTGTATTTGTTCGAGTTTTTCATCGTCAATCTGGCTTGTTGTTCGAGTTTATTGGACTTGAACCCTTTGAAACTTTGGTAGTTTGGGAAAATTTTATAAATCTTATGTATTATGGGAATTATTTTTAATTAATATTGTATTCTGGGAATTAATCCGATGATAAGTAGGTTGCTCGACACTCAGACAGAGGGTTGATTAAGATTTTAGAAAAAGTTATTTTTTTCGTTTTTTTGTTGTTTTCATTAGAAAAATGACATAGTTTTGAGCTATGTGATTTATATTTATAATTTTAAAAACTAGTAGTAGATCAATTTCAACTGGTATTTCTTGGCTTACCAGTTCGACGAAAAATATCAACTAGCATGACAGTTGTGAGCAAGGTTGTCAACCCGCAGGTCGATCCACGACTCTGATCCAATGAGAAAAACGGGCCGCACGCACCCGCTGGGTTAGCACTACACAGTGTCGGGTTGGAGGTCAAATTATGCTCTTTTTTTCTTTGATTTGCAAAATGCGCATTTTTTCCGATTTTTCTTTTCGCCTAAGTCAATCTTTGGAATACTTAGTTGAAGATTTGAATATTGATGTTATATTAGTGTGTGTGAATTTTCACTAATGTTGGATCTAAGTACGACATGTTACTTTGGTGTAATGTTATATATTATTACTCATATGTTATATGAGATTTGATGTAATTTATCAGGATAAGTACAATATAATGAGTCTTTCCATATTTTCGGGCTAAAACGGGTGACCCATTAACCCTTAACTAACTAGCTCGACCGAGCCCGATCAACCCGCGGGTTGACAACCTTGATTTGGTTGTGAGTCTTTCTCAAAACTGCAACGGATCTGGTCCGGTTTATGATATTTTCGCTCCGATCGGCTAGCCCGAAAACCATGAGGTTTGGTAGTTGCATTTGTTCGTCATCTCATCCTCCAATTTGAAGTTTTCTGCCCTCCGCTCCCTACAACAAATGGTACTGGCGGATGGGACGACGCTTGAAGACACAGATACAAACAGACAACAATGACAAGGTCACAACTTTATAAATCTTCATCACAACCTTGAAGAGAGAACCAAAAATTCAGGTACGCACAAATCCAATCCGAAACACCCTTTACTTTCACTCTCTACCCGAAAACGCTAACCCTAATTACCCTCGCATAATCGCATTTGCCCCCTCGCCACCTTCCTTGTTCGGTTCCCTTGGGTAGTTACTGTATGAGTGTTGAATTGAATGTGCCACTTCTTCTTTCAGCTCCCATTTCTGTCGAAGCAGAGATAGCACTTCATCCAGCACTACAAACGTTTGGTTTACGTTTTCAACAGTTGAGAATGTGGCGGTGATTGGAGATTCTGAAGTGGTGGCTAGTTTGCTTTCCTAAGCAGCGATGGCCGAGTGTGCGAACTCACCATCGTCTCTCGAGCTGCCTGTGTGGAAAGGCTGCGGCAGAGTGGGAAGAAGCAATGTGCCTCGGAGCTGTCATCTCTCAACGCCTCACAGGTTTGTTCTCAGGTCATTATCATTCTTTTGTATCAAACGGCAGAACTTCCAATAGTAGGAGAACTTATTGTGCTGACTTGAAGAGGGAATTAGTGGGTTGCAAATTCTTAGCTGCTTACTTGTCTGTGAATGTGGCAGTCGCAAGAATTTCAGGAGAAGTAGCAAGTTTGAGCTGATCTTTACTCCGAAATGGGCTCCAGCTCGAACATTGAAACCTATAGTAAGTCCTTTGCGGAAGGATGGTTCGTGGAGTTGTAGTTGCTTGGCAGCTTTGGCGGACCCTGATGGTGCAACGCTCTCTGATTGGGTTTCTGTTAGCAATCAGCTGCTTCTCCTGACCAGCATATTTCTTACTTACATGGCTGGGGTAATTCCAGTCCAGAAGTCTCATTCCTCTTCACAGAAGACTGTGTTGGAAGAGAATTCAGTGCGTAAGAACTTGAAGTCTCCTGGTGGGTAAGAATAGCAGATCAGGACTATTATTATATTTGGAAGGTGTTAATCGTCTGTAAATGTAAAATTTAACCTTCATCATTCACTTTCATGTTTGCTAAAGTTATTACCAATATGCAGGACTCGGAACAGCAACGACCAGGTTAACTTAAATCAGGCCTGGAATGATGTAAAAGCTAAACTCTTGGATTCTTTAGATGCCGTAGAGCACAACAGTTATTTGGTTGAAGACTTCCTTAAGTCAGAGAAGCAACATCCAAACCGACCACTAAGTTTGGATGCTGTGTCTGGAGGATCAAAGCTGCGCTTACTTTGGGCTTCGTTTTATCACCTTGAGGAAGAGGCAGGCACTGTCTTTACTACTGTCTCTTTATTCTTAGAGTTGAGAGTGCTGACTTAATCATAGTCATACTGAAAACACATCGGCATCAGACTGTTCACCTAGTCAATTGATGAAAAATCCATTTATTTTGATTTGCATAAAGATCGGATCAGCACTGCGAATAAGGACACCCTTGGTTTATAAGCATGCTGGCTATTCATTGCAAGTTGAATAAGTTATTGTTGATGTCCTTGTTACTTGTATCTGACAATGTATCAGAATGTTATTTCTCAAATGTGTTGAATTTCAGGGAGTTTGAGATGTTGATTTTTTTTGTCTGCAGGTAAATGACATATTAGGTGACAACAATGCAGTTACCTTGAATGGGTGGATGACAATGTTCCCAAAAGTTATCAACAATTCTTGTCATGCTGTATGCACGGCCTGGCTTAAAGAGGAGCTTCAGCTTGAAAGTAATAAATCTGACAAGGTACATTAAAGTATCTGATCATGTATGCGTTAAGGTTTTTGCAACCTGTTTGTGATGGGAATCCTGTTTGCCTTTTTTTCTGTTCCCAGGTGCTAGCTTCTTTGATGATTGAGAAGTTAAAAAGAGACGATGCTGCATTGCGAAATATTAGAAAGTATGGCAAGGAAGATCTTTATGCAGAGCTACTCTACTTTCTCAAGTTTGGCTCTTCCAGGTATGTTCACTGATATTACTTATCATTTGTTTTCCTGTTAGCAACTTGGATTTACTGTCTTGATTTAACCTGTAGCAGCCAAGCCATGGAAAGCAAATGAATTTAACTGGTTTATCGTCTTTGTTAGGGGGTTGTGTCAATTCTTCTGATCTATTGATGCCATATTCAGTAATTGAGAAAATGTTAATGCCTGGTAATACAGAAAGAACATCGAGCTTTGAGTCAATTATTCCATCTGATTCATAATAATGTTGGGAGAACTTTTTTATTTGTGTGTGGGTGGGTGGGTGGGTTGTTGGTTGGTTGCTTTTTTGTCTTCCTTGGTCAGCCATTCACATTTACCTCTGTACTTCTGTGGTGGCAGGAATGCTCGTTTGTACGATCATAGCCTGTTTGTAACGCATGGAGATTCCATATTAGAGGATTTGGTCATAAACATAGCTGATGGTATAGCTAATTTGTATTTAGAGCTTATATCCGTAGATGGAAGTTTGCCGGATGGAATGAATGACCTTGGTACGGCTATGTGCAGTTTGTCAACTCGAGCACTGCAACGGTTACGCAATGAGGTATTGGTGTTTCTTTTTGCGATCTTTGGCCATCAGTAAGAACTGTTATTAACTGGGTCACTATTTGGGTTTCTGTTTGGGTCTTTCTGTATTTCTTCCAATCACTTTATGGGAAGGCAGAAAAGAGAAAACCATGTTGTAGTCTTTGACTTGTGCTCTCAGTCAGATTGTTTTTGTTGGCATTTGTGGACTTCAATCTTTGTTGCTTCAGAAGGTCATTGAAAAGGTTTCGAAGCTATTGCATCATATTTGCTGTCCAACTTCTATTATTGCTTTGCTTTCGTGGTCCAAGAAGAAAATTGTCAGTTACTACTGTGTCAAAAGAAAAGTTGAGTCCGTGGTTGGCTTATCGAATGTGGAAAATATGGTGCGAGACCATGATTTGCTTTGAGTCTGGGTTTTGGCCTAAGTTTGAAGTAACTTTTAAAAAATTTTGTGTCAGATTGCTCTGAATCAGTGGTTGTATCAAAATATGGAAACTGTTGCATCGATATACGAAGATCGTTTCGATCTGTGTGTTCTTCAACTGAAAGCGATCGAAGAACCAACCCATACTCAGGAGGGTGATCACACTAGTTGGTGGAAACGGCTTTCTCTTACCAAATCTTCTGCAGTATCATCTTCATTTGAATGCATTGTCATCTGCCAGTTCCGTATGCCTGCAAAAAGGACCAAAGAGTTAAGGGCTTTGACAGGATGGTAAGATTATTTTCCTTAGCTGCACCCAACTCTTTTTCTTTTTCTTTTTATAATCCATATTCCAGGAGCACATCGACTGCTCAGTCCTAGAGCCGTGTCGCCAATGTAGTCAAAATCGCACTTTAAAACTTTAAAACTTACGATTTTACGTTTCTGGGTCACTAAAACGCTTTTACACAAAATCTCAGTTTTTATAACTTATGTAGTTGAAAACTCCGCTTTAAACTTACTATTTTACGCTTTTAGATCACCATAACGTTTCTACGTTAAAACTCGCTTTTGACTACATTGCGTGTCGCAAATTCATTTGTTAAGTCACCCTAGCTGTTGATATCTACGAATGAGACATTACCTGATCCACTGTTTCAATCATGAAAGAAGTACTAAACTTTCTATTGCTTAATGTCATATTTAATTGCTGGGTGTTGCAGGAGATACTACTACAGTCTATACCTGGAGTTATATGACATCGGATTGCCATTGGTTAGAGCAGTTATTGATAAAATCAGCAGCGCCATCTCATTTTTTCTTGTTACCTTGATTGGAAGGTCCCTAGGCCTCATCTACTCTGGCATTAGACAGTCCCTGCGGTGGAAATGAGATTGGATGTGATACATGATTTCTGGTTAGATATTATTGCTCGATTGTATTTGAAGTATTTTAGAAACCACCGCGGTTCATTTTTAGAATTTCGTCTAATGACCATTATAATAGTAAATTTATGTGCGAAAATTTATGGATCAATTGTAATTCTTTGTTATAACATTTACGTACGTTTTGGTCATGGATTACGAAATTGTTTTATGATTGCCACTAAATTTTTTGATTCTATTTATGATCACTAAGGTTAGTTAAATAGTTCAAGTTTAGTCACTAACTGTTATCTTCCGTCACTCTCCATTAATGCGCCAGTTTTTTGTTGATGTGCCTAATAGACAGTGGCGGAGCCAGAAAATTGTCCAAGGGGGTGTGTATTCATATCAGAAAAATAAACTATATATAATAGAAAAGTCAACATAAACGAAATAAAAAATCAACAACAGAATACTCAATATTTTTACAATTACATAATAATAGTTCGACTCACACCCCTTATAACGAACAACGAAGATATTTCATATTCTGAAAACATTGTAGAACACATTCCTTGTGTAAACTAGCACACAACTCTTGTTCAATATACTCAATATTTTTACAATTACATAATAATAGTTCGACTCACACCCCTTATAACGAACAACGAAGATATTTCATATTCTGAAAACATTGTAGAACACATTCCTTGTGTAAACTAGCACACAACTCTTGTTCAATATATGTCACCAACTCATCGTTTATCCGATTTTGATTGTAATTTTTTGTATATTCATGGGTGAAAATTATCTTCTCACACTTATAGTTGCAACATACAGATAATTGTCAACTTGAGAACTAAATAAATAGATAGATACGGTTTGTGCTTATTTTTTTTCACTTTTTTTCTAACTCGTCAACCCTTTGTAAGTTTTTAAACATGCCATCAAATGGTAGATAAAATAATACATGAATTTAACTTATGAACGAGAAATATCATAAGATTTGGGGTAATTGGTATGAATCGTACTATAGTATCGACAGGGGAAACAACAACCGTTGGGAACTTCTTATGGAACAATAATAATTGTAGGTTTAATTTTAGAACTAACTTGTTATTTTCTATAAAGAATCATAAGATTTATTACAAACTCATCAAGTGAAGATTGTACGGAAGATTGTTTAGTATTAGTCGGTCAAGGGTAATTCCCCAAACTTACTTTTCCCTTCGTAAATTTTTATTGCTCCTCCGAGCCAAGGAGGGTGCAAGCACCCCCAACCTAATGAGTGGCTCCGCCACTGCTAATATAGTCGCCTAGATCAACCTATTTTAGCTCGCAAAAATTTTATACCAGACCCGCCACGTCACTAAAATCTTAACCCGTGACCAACCCTTCTTGACCCGCCTATCCTGAAAAGTATCTATCCATTACCAATCTCCCAATACCTCTCGTCGCTATGCCTGATCATGGTTGTGCTTCAGCCCCAATCTCCGTTCCATCTTTACCTAGAAAAAAACTCGCAAATGCGAGAAAACAATACAAACACATAACGAGACTGTTACGTGGATTCTTTGGATATAACCTCCCACGCAACGTGCCTCGCAAGAATCGAACAATAATTTAAAGAAATAGACTTATGGCGAAGAGAATTAGGGTTAGAACGATCAGAAATAGACTTAAGACGAAAAGAGGCCAGATGAAAAAAGGACGAAGCAACAAAGTGAGTTGGGTTCCAATCTTCTCATGACATTAAACTAAAGTGATCATCGCTATGGAAACATAAGCCTTGTGCCCTTCTCGTCGCTACTTCTTCTGGTGACATTCTTCTTGCATTAGGAACTCGTGGTTGCGCGAGATGAGGTGGTGTGAGTATAGGTTCGGTCGCCGCCTCCACTTGGCCTTTTGGTGTATTTCTTGGCACTCCTCGATGTTTTCCCAACTCATCAATTTTCACTTTGGCAAGTAGAATGGCCTCCCCCACTGTTCCTGGCCTAAACATGCATATCGCGTCCAAAATCTCCAGTTAAAGCCCACCAATGAAGGAGCCCACCAATGCCTCTTCAGTCCACCCGTAGCACCGATTACCAAATTTCTCAAAATTGAAGAGATAATCATTCAATGATCCAGTTTATTTAATATTTGCGAGAGCTTCGTGGTTAGAAGTGCTTTCTGAAGGTCTGAATCGAACCCACAACTCTTCTCTAAACCGAGCCCAAGTAATTGATTGCCCGGTCTTTGTAGTAGTGCGATACACCCATTTCCACCATTGATCAGCATCCCCTTCCAAATGATAAGATACCAAAAAAGCATTTTGCTCCTCTTGAATTGGTTGAAATTTGAAGAACTGCTTGACTGGCGCAAACCATACAGATGATCCTCTTGCCCATTATACTTAGCAAAATCAATTTGGGTTGTCTTGGGATTGAAGAGCCAACTCTTTTCTTCTCTCCCATCAATTCCTGACTCAGTTGGACACACCTGGCTTCGCCCAGCTCCATTAAATGTCCCTGAAGCCCAATCATTGCCCGACCTAGTCCTCATGCTCAGCCAATCATAGGAGAGACCAACTGGCCTCCTCAATTCTCTCTTGGCCCATATTGGCCGAAATAGCCAGGCCTGCCCTGCAAGGATCCACCTCCCATTGAGAATGTAGTCTGCCCGACCTACCACCCGAGCCAGATCACTTGAATTCATGCAGGCTATTGTCAGAGGTTAGCACATATCAACAACTATCCCATCCTAGGCCAAGTTTAACCTAGAACGACATTATCGTATAATGGTAATCAAGGTCGTATTCTACTCGGGTCTCGGTACCCTAGCCTACTTCCCACCTAGTTGGTAATTAGTTAATCAGTTTTTGAGGTTTGAGTGAAGGATATGAGGAAACACTAGTCTAAAGATTGATCAAAGCTAAAAGCAGGTACTTCGGGGAACTATCCCTCCCCCTAGCTTAGGGTCACTATGCATATATAGATACTTAGGGTCATCGAATGTGGTGAGTGAGCTCTTTTCTGTGGGCTTTCGTGGTTATCCATACGCCTTTGAGTACGCCTCCCCTAAACCCATGTTCCAGTCACCTCGATCAAGGCTATCGTATCTAGGGCATTAAGCTTATGGCTCATTTCAATGGACACTATCCAACGTCCACACCGAGATTTCATCCTGGGTTTCATCTAGGTTGGATACCTATAGCAGGGGTTCGGTCGCCTCGACCACTGTAGGCCCCCATTCACACATCTAACCTAAACTCGCCAGGTGGCGCATACCCGTCTATCCCTAGAACTCCGTACCCAGGGCGGTAGCATAAAGGAGGCTAAGAGGGGAGATTAGGGAAAATTACCCAAGCATCATCAATTAGGAAAGAGTGGCATTAAAATCAACTAGACAAACACATTCATTCATTCAAACCCTAAAATATCCATATATACATAGTAAACCCTAAAACTAAGGTTTGGGGTTTAGAACTTCTATTACCTTAGAGGACTACTCCATAAAGGAGCGAAGAAGATACATGGAAGAAATAGAAGAAGACTTGGGGTTGAAGAAGATGCCTCCTAGCTCCTCCTTCTTCTCCTTCTCTTCTCCTTCCTTCAGCTTCTTTCTCTTTTCTCTCTCTAGAACCAAAAATTTCTCTCGAAATCAGTTCTCTTCAAAAGGGGAAATGGGTCTTTTATTTATAGGCATTCTGGACTCGGGAAAGTTCGTTGCCTGAGGATGGGAGATCGCGGGCGTGATCTTCTGAGGACAGGCCGCAATCTTAAGACAACGTTGTCATGGCCTTCTGAAGGCTGGAGATCGCGGGCTGACTTCGCGGTCGCGATCTACGAGTCGTGGCTTCAATCTTCCTCTCGAGCAAAGTGAATGTTGGTCGTGATGCGACTAGGGAAACTCTCTGCTTCTCCAAGGCTCCTTCAACGTGAAGTTCGCGCCCTGGGCCTCTAAGATCGCGGTGGCGATCTTTGGCTTCAGGGCCACAATCTTCAATTCCCAACCCTTCTCTACACTTGTCATCTTGTTTTGTACCTAATTCGCACATATCGACTAATACACCCTAAAATCACATCGAAATCAAACAGAAATCATGGTCATGCATTTTGTAGAACACTTGATGGACATCTAATTAAATTACAAGGGAATTGATCAAACCGTGCCCACCAAGGCGACAATAAAGCTTCACCCACATAAAAAAAACATGCACTCAATCAATCCTATTCCTTCCCCCACTCAATTAAAGCAATTTCTCAAAGAGTGCCAAATTGCTCACCCTAAAACCCTAGGCTTCAATTTGTCAAACAATGAATGAAGCAATTACAGACTGGGGAAAACACGTAGAGGCCTAGGGGAAGGTGTGGAGATGCTGAGGGACATGAAAAATACGTGAAAAGCGACCTGAAGTGGTCGCCTGAGCTTCACCAAAAGGTCAACAAAGTTCACCCCCGGTAAGGAAAACCAGCTTTAACGAGGCTCAGAACACTGGTGATAGGTCGACTATAAGAGGGGGATAAAGGGCTGGTGTTTGTTTTAATCCGGATGGTCGAAATTGGATGAAAAAAATGAAAAATTGCGGGAGTGTCCAGGTTTTTCATTGAAGCAGCAGAGGCTTTGGACAAAGGGTGGATGGTCACGAGCATTAGGGCCACTCGTTTTATAGACACTTGTTGAAGGTCACATTCGAGTGTTGCAACTCATGGTCTGGACCATGAATTAGACAAATAGGCCATCAATTGAGACAAACTTGTGCATCACGTCATGCCTTAGTGTCCAATGTCACGCCATAGACCGTGACATGGACGACTAAGCCCCATGACTTAACAAAAAAACACAAAATCAATTTTTATGTCATTGCTTGGTGCAAAATGTCACGGGCTAGATCGTGATATCCGGCACCCAGACAGTGACATATGTCATTCGCACTGATTTGATGACATTTTGTCTTGTCCGTGCCCCAAACTCAAACACCAAAAAACCAATAACAAAATGTGGACAACCAAGGGCACATAACTCAATCGATACACACACAAGACACACCAAAAAACAAAATAGAAAGAAAAAAAAATGCAAACCAGTGTGTTGGGTTACCTCCCAACAAGAGTCTTTTTTACGTCTTTAGCCGGATGCGACAAGATGACTAAGGGTTCTTGAGGCGCAACGCCACCTCATAGTTGTTCACATCGCCGTCAATGTAGAGCACGAGGCAATGACCATCAAATTTGAATGTGCCACTTTGAGGGTAAGAGATATCCATCATCCCATAAGAGAATACTCGGGTGACTGTGAAAGGTTTCGACCATCTAGACCGCAGCTTTTCAGGAAACAGGCTAAGGCAAGAGTTGTATTGAAGAACTTAATCTCCAAACGCTTCATTTTCTCCTTGTACAGTCACATGTTCTCATAGGCATGGTATCTTCATTCTTCCAGCTCTAGAAACTTCCTTTCATTTCATACAACATCGACATGGAGGTTAAGAAACTCAAGGACCCAAAAAGCCTTATTCTCTAGGTCAACCAGCAGATGGCATGCCTTGTCATAGAAAATCCTATACGGTGAAGTATCATTAGGCATCTTATAAGCCATGCAATAGACCCACAGACCATCATCGAGTTTGGTAGAGCAATTTTTACGGGACCGATCCACCATATTTTCCACAATGTGTTTTAGCTCCCTGTTGTCAGCTCGACTTGACCACTCATTTGAGGATGGTAGGCCATGGATACCTTGTGATTCAAACAATAGCAAGAGAGGAGCTTATCATATTGAACCTGGAAGTGGGTGCCTCTATCGCTAATGATGGTTCTTGGTGTCCCAAACTGAGAGAAAAGTTGCTTCAGAAATTCTCAAACAAGTCTAGCACCATTAGTGAGCAAAGCATGTACCTCAACCCACATCGATACATAATCCACAGCGACGAGAATGTATTTATATCCAAAAGTAGGAAAGACTCACATGAAATTAATGCCCCAACATTAAAAATCTCGCATGGAATAAACATAGTTTGGGACATCTCTTTCCAGGAAGAGATGTTACCAAAACTGTGGCTGAGATTTCACTTGCGTGCAAAGGTCTCGACATCCATGAAGAGAGAGGGCAGTAGAAGCCTGAAAACAACACCTTTTGCGGCATGTGGTTCCTGCCATGATGTCCTCCAGTGGTACCCTTATGGCAATGGGAGAATATGTCCTGCATCTTGACACACTATAACACAACACTAAACTACGACCAAGTGCAATCGTAGGATGGAAATGTAGAGCAGTGGTTTAGTTTTAATATCGACTTGGGCTCTAGATCTACTACTTACTCCATGAACTTCTATTATCTAGCTGGGAAAGTTTAGTGTTGTTGTTTAAAAGCTAAAGAAACGAAAAACAAGTAATGTTCTGGTTATTTCAAGTGCTAAAGGTGATCCAGGTATGATTCCCCCTAGTGTGCAGCTAGTTCAGGTTATACGTTCCCAATTTACTCCGATTAATAGATACACTGTGTAAAGTTCTTAACAAGTCCGTAATCTCGACTAAAGTAATCCAGACCCTCTCATTTCGAATACCCGGTGGGCAACTAACCTTCACCGGCATAAACCAACCAAGGCAGTAATGTGCCAAACTTCCTCTACTGGCGTTAACTCCAGTACGGAGTAATGGGTTGATTTCTCAACTAAAGCAATCGATTCACCATTTCCAATTTAAGGTTTCTCTTTTAACCTATGTAGAGACTATCGTTCTAGGTTAAAGCAGGAATATCATACAGTCTTTGATCAGGACTCATGCAATGATTAACTCCTCAATTGAATATATAAAATCAATCCTTCGCAAATGGGGTTCATACAACCATTCCTAACATACAAAACTAGGGTTCTTCTTACCTAGATGAGAATGAAGTTTACTCCATGGAGAGGAGTGAAACATCATGCTAGGAGGAGAAATCATCATGTGAACAATGCGAATATGATCCTAGCGGCTAATCGGTACTCCGAGGATGAGGAATCAAGCTCCGAGATCTTCAGATCTCTCCAATCCTTGAACAAGGGTTGTCCTTCGTCACTTTCTCTCTAGGGTTCTCTTTCATCCTTTAGAACTCCAAAAATCTGGATCCTTTTCCTTTTTCCCGAGCAGCCCTTTTATAAGCTGGAACTTCGCGAGTTACGGCCTATGTTACAACCGTAACTCCCTCTTTTTGGCCATAACTCCTCCTTAAAACGATGTCGTAGCTGTGCTCCTTAAACCAAGAGTTACGGGTTCTTTGGAGGAGTCACGGTCTCAACCGTAACTTGAGAGGGAAGGCCGTAACTCCAGGAACGCTCATGGAATCCTGGTGTCATCACCTCCCAAGAGTTACGGGTTCTTAGGGCGAATTATGATCCAGAACGTAACTTCTCTGGGCTGGCCGTAACTTTGAAGTTGCTCCTGGAATCCCTGGTCCTTCCCTTGAGAAGTTACGGGCTTTTAGGTAAAGTTACGGTCGTATCCATAACTCCTAACGTGGGGTCGTAACTTCTCCATGCTTTCTACCATTTCGCTCCAAAACGTCACAAAATTCGCTCCATTATACCTATTCACGTGCTAGGACCTGAAGCCTCATCAACCAACACAACTTAGTGTAAAATAGGAAACGAGAGCGAGACACCGAGCTCAAACGATCAAGAAATGAGAAGAAAAACATGTTCAAATATAGTGTTATCACATCTCCACCTCTAGCACACACCAGGAATGACGCCATAAGCTCCAATTAAGAAAAGGTAAGGATCATCCCAGAAATAATGATGCAGATTGGAGAAGAACTTCCACTTCCCTTGAGTAGTCATCTCCTTGGACAACTGCTTGCCATAAGATAAATTTTGTAAAATTGAAATACCATGGGATGACACTCTTCACAAAGCACATCATGATGAGTCTCAGATCCGAAAGGAATCATGAATCTCCTCATCAAAGTTGTCTATCAAAGGACCTTCGAGTTGGGATAGATGATCATCAACCAAGTTTTCCGCAACCTAATTATCCTTGATCTCAATGTCGAACTCCTAGAGAAGAAGGATTCATCGTATGATCCGAGGCTTGGCATCAAATTTCTCATCAGGAACCAAATTGCAAAGTGATAAGTATAGACGATGACATGAGACAAGAGCAGGGTCAAAACTTATCAAAAGCATACCAACAGTCAGGAGATCCTTCTGCCCAGGTGTGAGAGAAGAGCTAATAATAAGCGGAAGCTTGTTTCCCTCCCTCAAGAATGCTTACTTGAGGTGACTAGGGAGGGGCTTAAACTCCAAATCTGGTGGTTCCTCCAGTGAGGTGGTGATCCAACTTGATCTGGAGACTAACACCACTGGTGGTTGATGATCTTGTATCACTACCACATCTAATGATGCAAGCTGTGCCTTCTTAGAAGGTTGTTCTCCTATCAAACGACATTGCTCAAGAAAATCATCAGTACCTGCACTGGTGATGGCGAGTGATGTCCCAAAATCATACAAATTATCACAATATTCTAGATAATCAAGCACACGAGAATGCTTCAGATTATCAGAAAATGGAAAAAGTGACTTGTTCATTCCCAACCCGCAATATTTCCCATCATGCACATAAACAAGTGCCATGGTGGCAGCCAGAAAAGGTCTACCTAAATCAAGGGTACAACCACATCTTCATTTATTTGAAGTATCACAAAATCAACAGGATAAATGAATCTACCGACTTTGACTAGAAAATCCTCTACAATACTCTTAGGGTGCATGATAAAACTATAAGCCAATAGAATACTCATTAGTAGCATTGGATTCACCTAGTCTTAACTTTGTAAACAATTTATATGACATAACATTTATACTAGCTCCTAGGTCTGCCAAACACTTTCCTACATACATAGAACCAATGATGCAAAGGATAGCAAAACTTCCTGTGCCTTTTTGATTTCCCGACAGCTTGTTACGCATCATGGAATAACACTCCTCATTTAGCATCAAAATGGAGAGATCCCCAAGCTTCTTCTTGTTGGTGAAGAAGTCTTTCAAGAACTTAGCATACTTGGGCATCTACGATATAACCTTCATGAATAGTAGCTTGATGTGCAACTGCTTTAGCATTTCCATGAACTTTGATAATTCTGCCTCCTTTTCCTCCTCAATTGTCGTTGATTGTGCTGGAGTGGACTGTACACCTTCCTGTGACTTAGGAGCATGAGCATCTATAGTCTCCTTCCCACTCTTAAAGAGAATATCCTTCATATATGCTTGTGGGTTTTAGGATTGGGAATTGTGTGATCGAATAGTGCACCAGAAGCCCTAGAAGTGTGAGCCTGAGCTATGGTGTCGATATCTATTTCCAGATTATGTCGAGAAGCCTAGTGATTCCTAAAGCCTGCCTCTAGATTCTGGAATTTCTTGTTTTCCATATCAATAAACTTATCAAGGAGTCCAAACCTCTGATTACTAGTGCTCACAAACTATTACATCATCTCCTCAAACTTGGACGCTTAGTCTAGAAGAGGATGTGAAGAAGTCGGTTGACCAGGAGGTCGGTATGGAGGTTTTTGTTGCTAATAATGTTGTCCCTGATAGGGAGGCCTCTATTTCCAATCAAACCTCCATAAGCATGAGCTCTGAAACATTATAAGCAACGCATAACCAAGTGTAAATCATGAAGGATAGTAGGGTTTCTTTTATTCATAGTCAAATGGCGGCAACAACGACGAAGAAGTGTTATCTCTTCCACAAATGTTGATGACATGGCTTCAATCATGGGATGAGTGGTAGTTGTTCCCTAGTCCTCCCTTTGTTCCAATGTCACCTCCGTAAGGTTTGCATGTATGTCTCATGTATTTGCTCGACATGACCACCATACTGAGGAGTGTTATTTAAATGATGAGGAGTTCTCGTCCATCTACAAAAATTTACCGGGTCTTAACTTCCCGTATGGTGATGAGGTCTTGAGGTACACATGGTCGTCTAGTGATGAGACCATGTACACCTCAACTTGTGTCAGCACTCATGATGAACTTAGAGCTTGCCTCTTAGAAACCCCATTATCAAATTGATATGTTATCACGCTGTCTATATTGTACTCATCATCGCATACCCACCTTATCTAGGTGACAAGCTTGGATTCCACATGGATGCTTTCAAAGGCACATATGCCCGCGAGGAACTTGGAGGTTCAACTCTATAAGCATGCAACTTGTGACATAGTTGCTTGGTAAGAAAGGCATGTCTACTTGAACTCGCACCCATGCGTGCGAGACTCTTAGTGTCTTTGACTACAAAATCTAATTTCAAAAGGTACTTCTAAAATTAAATTAATTGTTATACTCAACTTGTCCTTATAAAGTGAATAATCAATGTGGTACTCATTATTTTTTTCACTCAATAAACACGGAATACTTTTTTATGTCTATAACATAATATGAACATGTATCATTAAAAGTAACATAAATAGTGAATGTATATGTTGCATAATTGATATTTCAATCATTTAAAAAATGCTAATAATTAATTTAATTAGGTTGTGTTTATAGATAGTACGATTCATTGATGTGTAATAAGACGTGTATATATATTTATGTGTATCAAAATTTTGTAATGTAAAATTTCAAATCTCAGTAAAATATGATTTTGAAATAACTTTATTAAGAATGTGTTGAGGGTCATTATAAAAAGAAAATGAAAAAGAGTTATTTTTAGGAATGTTCTCGGGAATATCAATGGAGATATTGAAGATTACCTCGTAACATATATACACCAAACCAATTGTAAGAAGAAAAAAATGAGACATCTTTGATGATATTTATTTTCTAGAAAAGCAAAACAGGTGGGTCGAGCCCAAAAGAATCGGGCGGGAAATACGGTTGGAAGGAGAAGAGAAATGTGTATCACCCATTTCTTCAAAAGAGAAAATAACTAACTTTTGAATAGAAAAGCTTGAAAATCTCTCGACCAGAGCTCTTTTGTCATCTGAATAATAATAAGACTAATTTCAAAGAGTTGAAGCCAAAATCACCAAAAAATAAAAACTATAAAATAAAAATGAGAGCCTAGAAAATAGGGCACCAAACAAGTTTAAACACAAGAAATTCTTAAGCCTAAAAACGACAAATCTATTGATTATCCCTCCCTTTCTCTCTGCCTTAGAACAAAAGCTAAGGCAGAGAGGCTAGCCAGTAGCCATCCTGCAGTGCTCGGCCTCCTCAGATCAACAAAACAAAAACGAAAATAAAAAAATTGTAATAGAAAAAGAAAGAGGAAAATGGTTTTCCAGGATTTTGATCAAATATCAGAAAGGAGGAGGTTGGAGAGACAACGCAAGTTTCGGAAGAAGCTTATCATTGCTTGTGTTGTTGCGATCATTTGCATTGTCCTCATCGTCGCCTGTGCTTATGCATATGTTGGGCAGGAGATGAAAAATAACAAAAACAAGGATGTGGATGACCACCAAAAGGCTACCAAGGCAGGAGATTCAGACCATCAGGAAGATCAAGCTACTAAAAAGGGCGCAGATCCAACACCACATGATGAGAAAGAAAAAGGAGGAGACGACAAAGAAGTAGGAGGGGATATTATTAAGGGGACAAGTGGCATTGCTAACGTTCAAAAAATGGTGAAAACTGTTTGCAATTCCTCCACTTACCAAACTAGATGTCAAACCACATATGATGATGCAATCAAGAAAAACTCCTCTATTACGCCTGAAGACTTCATCAAGGTTTCAATCCAGGCAGTGAGTACAGAGATTCAAAGCGTTATGGAAAAGATTAATAACATGAAACTAGATGACCCTAAGGTTCAAGGAGCATTAGAAGATTGCAAGAATTTGATCGTGGAGGCAAAGGATGAATTAAATAGTTCGATTTCTATGGCTGGACAAGACCTTAAGAAGATGGCTGATAACGGGCCAGAGCTAAAGAATTGGCTTAGCGCTGTGTTATCATATCAACAAACCTGCATTGACGGGTTCCCCAATGGCACGACCAAAACATACATGGAAAAGAGCTTTAATGCGTCCAAGGAGTTCACAAGTAACTCACTCGCTGTTGTAGCAACATCCAATTCATTGCTCTCGGCGCTTAACATTGTACTGCCTGGAGGTGCTAGTCGTCGGCTTTTGGAAAATGAATCTTCTTTGGATGAGGATGGTTTTCCGAGTTGGTTTACTCACGAAGACAGGAGGATGCTAAAAGGTGCTAGTGCCGACAAGCCGAAGCCCAATAAAGTCGTTGCTAAAGATGGTAGTGGAGACTTCAAGACTATTAACGATGCAATCAAAGCCATTCCTAATCAATATGATGGAAGGTGTGCTTTCTTTTTTGTTCAACTTCTCATCTTTCTAATGTTATATTTTAATGTGAAAATTACTTCATGAAAGGAATGGTGACACTATGCTGATATTTCAGGTATGTCATTTATGTAAAGGAAGGGGTATATGAAGAAAGTGTGACCATAGAAAAGAGGATGGAGAACCTTACCATCTACGGCGATGGGTCGCAGAAAAGCATTGTTACTGGAAGTAAGAATTTTGCTGATGGTGTTCGAACTTTCCAGACTGCAACTTTTGGTACGAACACATATTGATACCTACTGATAAAAATATTAGTTTTTTATTATATTAAAATACATAGTAACATTGCTTAATTATATAGCATGAACTCAGAATACATACTTGACTATATACAATAGTTTTTTAGCAATGACAGAAGACATATAAATAATAAATTTATGACAAGTAAACATAGTAATTCACAACATAGAGACGATTTTATTTTTAAACAAACAAATAATTTTGGGACATTTTAATGTTTGTAGTGGTACTAGCACACGGGTTTTTGGGCCAAGCAATGGGATTTAGGAACACGGCTGGGGCAGAAAAGCACCAAGCTGTGGCTATCCGGGTACAAGCAGATAAAGCAGTGTTCCTAAACTCACGCTTTGAAGGCTACCAAGACACACTCTATTCTCAAAACCATCGCCAATTCTATCGTAGCTGCGTGATTGCTGGGACTGTTGACTTCATATTTGGAGATGCAGCAGCAATCTTCCAAAACTGCTTGATTCTTTTAAGAAAGCCAATGGCTAACCAACAAAATACGATCACAGCTAGTGGAAGGATGGACAAGTTTCAGAGCACAGGCTTTGTACTCCAAAATTGTAGGATTGAGCCCGACAAGGACTATGATAAGAGCAAGACAAAAAGCTACCTTGGGCGACCATGGAGGGACTATTCTAGAACAGTGGTAATGGAATCAACGATCGAGGACGTGATTCAGCCGGAAGGATGGTTGGCTTGGGATGGAGATAAAGGGTTAAAGACATTGTATTATGCAGAGTTTGGCAATGAAGGACCAGGATCAAAAACAGATGGTCGAGTTAAGTGGGAGGGGTTTCACGTGATCAATCGAGATGAGGCCATGAAGTTTACAGTGGACCCTTTCATACAAGGAGAAAAGTGGATTGATGACATTGGTGCGCAAGTTAAGTTTGGATTGTTTAGTTAAATTATCAAAGGCAACAAATTAAATGAGGAACATGCAAAGAAGCTTTGGTTGTTTGTTTAATATATTATAATGAGCTTTCACGCACAACGTAGAGAAGTTAAAACATGAGAAAATATTAATTTCCAAACGCAAAGAGATTAATTGAAAAGTGCAAAAACTGAGTTTTGGGAGGATGTTGTTGTGGCTTATGGCCAACACTTTTGTGTTCCGCTTAATTTTTTACTATTTGGACACAGAAGACATTGGTCCATACACGCTATAGTAAAACGAGATAAAATTTTATCTCATTTTGTTTTCTTTTGACGCAACTCGTTGTTCTATCTTGTGTTTTTTGTAATCCCTTTTTCTTTTTTGCAAAGTATTTTTAATCTTTAACATCTCTGTAAAAAAGCATGTTAACAAAATATTATATTTTTCCAAGTTCTCAAGAAAAATAAATTCATCTATTCTTTACCTTTAGAAATGTATAGACATGTTTAGTATGAGAAAAGAAGAATCATGATGCAATTAAAAAATACCTCATTTATATTTCTTTTTTTTTTACAATGAATTATTCACCCTCCCCCTTAGCAATCAATTTAACTATAAGCAATACCAACAAAGTAAGCAACAAGTAAAGTAGAACAAAAATGAAATTTTGTTGGTGCATTAAATTGTCCAATTATATTGATGACTCATAGTTTAAACATTTCCCCTTATATTGTATTATCGTAAGCATGTTTCTGGTTAATTTTAATAGTTTTTCACTTTTATGTTGGTAGTATTGCATTGTGTTTTTTAAAATCCACGAATGGATTATCTTTGGATGAGAAATGAACTAATAATTATGATTTTTCAATACTTGATGTCTTGAGGATCATCTACGACAGAGTATAGAGAAAAGAGAACTTTAACGGAACGAGCAGAGCTTGAATTAGAGTAAGTATTGATTAGGTAGTACATATACGGTATAATGTTATAGCATATCTTGCATGAACATGCATATTGGCAAAATAAACAGAATTGAATGATTACTGATGAACAAGATAAACAAACTCCACATACAGTAATCATTGTTATTTTATGGATAACAATCCAGTGTTTGCCTTTTGGTGCCCAAGGTAAATAAAATAATTTCTTCCATGATAGAATGGATTTACCTTATTGGTGTAGATATACTTCACATTCTAACAATCGATGAGCACAATGAGTAGAGCGAATCATATGAAACATTTTATGTTTTGGAAGAGCGAAGAATTTTTTTTCCAGTAGAGTTTTGTGCAAAAGAACTAGTGATGAAAATAGTGAAGATATGGAAATTTCTAAGGAACGAGAGGATGCAATCTGAAGAGTAGCATGGATTCAGGTATAACATTTTTAAATGAGAATTGCACTGGTTCGAGCGGCAGTTAGTCCAAAAGAAATAATTGGGACGATTTGGGTGTAGCCTGTTAAAAAAACTAAATTTCAACCAATTTGGTATAAAAAATGTTAATAAAATAAAATATTTTGCAAGGGCCCAAATACACATCCTTTTACTAGCTATCCTGGTCTTCAACACTAATTTACGAGAGCATACCAGGTGCATAACCTTGATCTGCACATTCCTATAAAACTCCACATTATACAACTAAAGTACAACATTGTACCATTATGGTAAACATCGTACCTGATATGCTATAAAACAGGTAGAATTTACCTAGTCGGTAACCATGATTCTATTTCCTCCCTGCGTCTCACGTCCCCTTACTCAGGCAATAAGGAAGTTGATCTTGGTTTTTAAATCAAGTCGTGTTGGCTGATGTTCCTCTAGGTTTTGGTTTCCCTTGATTTTGTATTGAAAGAAAAGGAAAAGAAATAAAAAGTAAATCTAAACTGCTAGACGAGGGAAAGAAGAAGGGAAAGTGTTACTCCCCCTAGAGTTACGATAACTGACATATGCATATGTGATTGAGGGAATCCATAATGGATTTCCCAATTCACTATGTTTTTATATCATGTCATCCCCTAAGGAGGTTCTCTCGTGGGATTCGTGCGTGCTACGTAGACACGTGGGTCAGTCAACAATTCAGTTTGCATATGTCACATAGCAAGAAAGGTTGCTACTAGACGTGTATTGCATTCAATGTGCAAATGTCATTTGGGTTTCCTTTCACTTGATATTCAAAATTACGCAATAATAAACTAGCAACCTATTGCACCATTTCTTCCCTCAAGCCTACTAATTGCTTATGGACTAGCTTATGACCAACGCTTTTGTGTTCTGTTTAAATTTATTTTTATTTTTTTTGTTGCTATTTGGATGTTAGCAAGACATACGTAGAAGGCATTGGTCCATACATGCTATATTCGAATGAGATAAAATTTTATCTCATTTTGTTTTCTTTTAGCGCAATTCATTGTCCTATCTTGTGTTTTTTGTAATCCTTTTTTTGTAAAGGTTTTGTATATCTTTAACATCTATGTAAAAAAGCATGTTAACAATATATTATATTTTTTACCTTTAGAATTGTATATTTTTTCCCCTTCCCGCCGGCATCTCCCAGGTATTCCAGATCTACCTCTTTACGACGGTTACGTCCTACTGGCCGTTGCGCGTCGGTTCTGTATGCCACACTTTTGTCGCAAAACTTCCGTTCGTGGTCATGTGGAATGATAGTGTCCAGGACTCCAGGTACACGTTTCCTCTCTTGATTTTATTATTAGTTTTTATCTTCATTTTATTTTAGTATTATGGTTACTAAGACCATTTTTCTAAAGGTATGGCATGGATTTGGTTACCACGTATTCTATCTTCATGTTTTTAATTTTTGGTTTCTAAAATAGTAATTTAAGGAGTGAGTAATACAATGAGTGCCTAACGCATTTCATTTTATTTTCCAAATTTCATGGGATTATCAACATCTGATTCGACGGATGGTCGGAGGTGACTTGACTCATGATCAAGGTGGAGCTTTACTAGATGATACTCGGGGCTTGGCTCTCTTTTCCATTGTGTTTCTTACTGTTTTGTTCTTCGTTGACTCAATAGGGCTGCCCATCTTGTGGCACAAGAGGCCCTTTCATCAAGAGTTCGACTATTGGTCGACTCTCGCGCTTTTTATTTCTTTTGTATGGCTGTCTATTTCAACCCCTGACTTTGAAAAGAAAAAAAAAGGAAGAATCATGATGCAATTCAAAAATATATCATTTTATATTTCATTTTGTACTTTTTTCTCACTCTTAATTATTCACCCCCCTGCCGCCCAACAATCAATTTAACTATAAGCAATACTCACAAAGTAAGCAATAAGTAAAGTAGAACGAAAATAAAATTTTGTTGGTGCATTCAATCGTCCAATTATATTAATGACGTATGATAGATCATTGATTACACATTTTTTTAGCCCTATTCTTGAGCCGTTTGAGATGTTGATTCTCGTGTTTTAAGCCGATTTCACGCTAGGTTGTGTGTTTATGTCATATTTCAGGGCTTAGCGTTGGCATCGAGGCGAAGAAACGAGTTTCGGGTCGAAAGGAGCACATTTGGGGTGAAGTGTGCTGGAGGAGCAAAATACCCGGCCATGAGCAGAAATACCCGGCCGGGTATTATTTGGATCAGACCGGGGATTTGTTGCTTCGGGCGTCTCTGAGAAGCAGAAGGGGGCCCGGGCACAGAGCAGAAATCCCGGTCGGGGATTCTTGGTATTGACCGGGGATTTTCCCCTGTCTTCAGACGTTGCGTTTTGAATATACCCGGTCGCCACCCAAAATATCCGACCGGGTATTCAGACCGGGGATCGCGACAGACAGCTTTTTAAGGGGAAAGAAGGGCAAAAGACAAGGGGTTCCGAGTTTTAGAGAGAAAGAGCGATACCTAGAGAGAGAAAAAGACGAACCGGACTCTACAAGTGCCATAGATCAATCTCCATCACCATTGGAGCCCGGCTAGAGCTTGGAGAAGACATGATTGAGTGCCAGAAGCAGATTATCATCCTTCACAGTATGGTTTCCGCATCTAAGCTAGATTTCCCATCTCTCTCTATGGAGTAGTTTTCTTATTCACCTGGGTATGAAGAACCCTAGATTTGTATGTTAGGTCTGATTGTATGAACCCAAGTACAGATTCATTGGTATGATTATATTCAATTGAGGTTTGATTTGTTGAATGGCATGAATCCTGATCAAATTCCTGTTGTTTCTGCTTTAACCTAGGAAGAGAATATCTGCCTAGGTTGATACAGCACCCTTGATTGAAGGTAGTGAATTGACAACTTTAGTCGAGAAGTCAATTCACTATCCTGTACCGAATTCACTTTGGTAGTGGAGGTTTGGTTCATTAGGGCCTCAATTTGTTTACTCCGGTGGAGGTTAGTCGCCCGCTGGAGACTCAGATTGAGAGGGTCTGGAGACCTTTAGTCGAGACTTCAGACTGTTTTAGAACCTCCTGCAGTATAACTATCATTGAACCTGAACTTGGTAAATTACAATTCGGCTTAACTGTAGTCTAAGGGGAACCATATCCGGGTGACCTCTCTCGACTTGAAAACAACCTTTTTACTTGCGTTGCTTGTTTGCTTGTTTTGACCTTCACTAAAGTTTCACGGCTAAATAATAAGAACTCACGGAGTAGACATCACATCTAGGACCCGGGTTGACATTAAAACCCAAACCCGCTATACTACGCTTTAGGAGGTGGTTACACTTGGCCATTTTCTAAAGTGACAGTAGGAGCTAGTCAAGTTTTTGGCGCCGTTGCCGGGGACAGCTAGGTTGTTGAAGAAACGTGAATTATGTTAATTTAGCTTTTCTTTTTCGCATTGTTTGCTTTGTCACACTTGTGCCTTCACGGGTTTGCTGCTTGACTGTGTGCAGGTAGTGCATGACCTGTAGCCAGTCAGGAGGTTTACTGTCGTTGGATCCAGAGCTTGAAGCACCTATCACCAACTTAGGAGACAACAACGAGCTAGACTGGCTACGGAGAAGCGCATAGACGACCATTTGAGCAGCGAGTCCGAGGACGAGTACGAGATGGAAGGAGACCATAACCCTCCCCAGGGGATACCTCTCTAGGTTCCCCCAGTGAACCAGATCCTGGGGAACAACCCAATACCCCAGGCATATGGGGTTCAGCATCCACCACCACCGCCGCTGGGTCCCACCTTGGAGTACTACTACACTCCACGGGTTGCCGATATCCGCCCTGTCATCCTCTACCCGTCCATTCCAGCGAACAACTTCGAGATCAAGCCATGCTGGATTCAACTCATTACATCCTCTATCCAACTTCGAGATCAAGCCATGCAGGCATTCATGACCACCAGCCAGGCGAACTTCACGAGGATGAACTAAAACATAGCCTCACTGGAGGCTGGCCAGAGGAACCAAGGTGCCATTTTGCAAGATCTCCATAATCAGATTGATGGTATAGCTCGCCAAAATACTACCGGCTGGGGACTCTGCCTGACACCACTATTCCAAACCCTCGTGAGCCTCACCAGCACCTGCAGCTGGATGCCATCACTACCAGGGGTGTCAAGACCACATCTGATGCCCCTGTCCAGCCCAAGCGGGACGAGCCACTACCTGCTTCAACACTTCCAGCTGACAATGCAGAAGTGGGGGGGGGGGGGGGGGACAAGGAAGCACCTGCTCTCAAGCCACAGCCAGTGGTTAAGGAGCATGTACCCCAGCTTCCTTTCCCCACTCTCCTACATAAAGACAAGCTGGAGACTGAGTTTGCCAAGTTCAGGGCAATGTTGAAGCAGGTCAACATCAGCATGCCGCTCGTAGAGGCACTGTCGAAGATGCCCAAGTATGCCAAGTTCATGAAAGACCTCCTCACCAACAAGAAGAAACTTGGGGATCTTTCGACAGTGATGCTGAGCAAGGAGTGTTCTGCTATCCTACAGAACAAGCTGTCCGAGAAGCGTAAAGACCCAGGGAGTTTCACTATCCCTCTTGTTATTTGCAGCATGCATGTAGGAAAGTCCTTGGCAGACCTAGGCGCTAGTATAAATGTCATGCCCTACAATTTGTTTAAAAAGCTAGACCTAGGTGAACCTAGAGCTACTAGGATGAGCATTCAGTTAGCTTACTGTTCCATTGTGCATCCTAGGGGTATCATAGAGGATCTGCTTGTTAATGTGGGTGCATTCACATATCCTGTTGACTTTGTTATTCTGGATATAAATGAGGATGTGGATGTACCTTTGATTTTGGGTAGACCGTTTCTCGCCACTGCCAAGGCGCTTATTGATGTGCATAGTGGTAAATTGATCCTGTGTGCTGGTGATGAACATGCTACTTTTCTGTGTCTGAGAATGGGAAGCACTCCCATTCGCATGATGACTTAGATTACTGTGATGTGCTTGCTGATTTTGAGACCGCACTCGCTATAACGAGTGCGGGTACTGACGATGCTCTTGAGCGTTGTATTCTGCTAGGTGAGCAGGCATCGCAGGAGTCGCAGCTGGCGGAGCAGTTGGCCGCGCTGGAGAGTGGCACATTCCTGGAGGGCGACAACCGGCTGTTCAAACCGATCTCATCTTCACCCTGCATCACTACCTCCTTCGAGGAACCACCGGAGGAGCTAAAGCCCCTCCCTCCTCATTTGGAGTATGCATTTCTCCGGGAGGGGAATAAGCTTCCAGTCATCATCAGCTCGACCCTCACACCCGAGCAGAAGGACAGACTGGTGGCCTTGTTGAAGCAGTACG